CTATTTTTTTAATATTGTATCGAATTAGTTCATATTTTGTGGAAATGTATTATGTAAATTATTTTGTTTAATCCCTCTACAATTAGCATGTGTGAGACCAAAAATGTTCGTGCGGAAACTTGACTACCGTTACGATCTTCTCTAATGGTGATCAAATTCCGACCGTTATTGAGTCTACACCTATATTGCTACACGTGTTTCGCTTACGAACAAGGTATCAACAGGCATTGAATAGAGTTTGGATACAGCTCAGAAACCTAGTGTTGAACTGTACGGCGACCAACATTCGCTAATTGTATCAAGATTAAACAAAATATTATAAATCCATTAAGTAGTACTATGTAGTAGTTAATCACTACATTTTAAGATTATTCTTCGTAAATTATTCTTCCTAATATTTCTCCACTAAACCGATCAGTTTATTCTAATAATGAAAGAGAAATAAGTAATAACTATAAGCCCACCGGTTTTGTATTTACAATTATAATATATATGCACATAATACCTATACACATGTACATATCATCATAATTTTATTATGGACTATTTTCGTATGGGCTGTCAGCTTATTTTTGTCTGCCATTCTAATAACAAAAAAGAATATATCAACAGGCCATAGAGTATGAAATGAATACGCGGAATACGTTCCCAATGGGTTTACTTGAAGGTCATATCATTAAAAGTACATGTACTTATGCTATGTTATTACTCATACGAACAATATCCATGAGAACAATATCAATATATTAATATTTAAATTTCTGTCAGTATGAAAAAAAAATATGAACTAATTCGATACAATATTAAAAAAATAGCGCAGCTAACCTAAAAAGAGCTCTACGTTTGACGTTCCATATTCAAAATAATTAATTTTATTTTTAATAAATACCTAATGGCTATTACATTTGCAAACATGAAATATGGCCACCTAATGACTTTATTAAATTTATGTAAGGTAAGTAGCATCCGTCGACGTCGTTATTATATAATATTTTAGATCAATTCTATATTTAAAAACTGCAAAACAAATTGTTTTTATTTTTTAAAACTATTACGCATGAACAGTGCCATCACATAATCATGTCACGACCGTGGTAAGATGTCATGTTATGTAATTTCAACTATTTCACTGATATATTTCAACTTTACGAACAAAATTGCTTGCTTAACAGAAAACTTAACTCGGTATAAATTATATAAAAAATTATCTAAGTATTATATGAAACACAAAACAAAAAGTCTTTGTTGTGTGATATGAAACGTGTAGTTCTGTGATAGTAGAGAGAAATCAAATTCAGATATTGCAGTTTCTGCAACAATCAACTTTTATCCTGTAAGACACAAACAAGCTATCCTCTTTGCGTCGTTGTTCCGAGCCTGAACTTTAACCTTTGTTGGGGTTTCATTTCAACTGCAACGTGATTATTTATGACGTCATTCCTAGAATTGTGATGATATACAACTCTACATGAACATAATAAAATTCCTCTACCTTAATTTCTTTTTTACTGTACTTATTAACACCTTTAGACTTTAATTTCCGTAAATTTAATAAAATATATAGTTTTGTAACGGAAAATAATCGAAATAGAATATTGACCTCCTTTTGACACGAAATGTAGTGTAACCAACAAATATAAAGATTAATTAATAATTGCAGAGAAACTAAGACATCACAAATTCATTTTTATACTATCTGTACCTACTCGGAGAATTACCTAATCTTTCGGCATGAATTCCTAATAAGAAGTAGATATATGGTAGCGGCTGAGTTTATTATTTATGCATCAAATTGCTATATAAAAATTAAATAAGTTCAACTGGCAAGAAGGTAGAATGCTCTGAATATCAATCATCTCGGTATCACGATATGCATTTACAATGGTCGGAGATTCTGGAATAGTATCTCAAGTTGCCGACTTGTATTTATATTTTTTTAAATATACAAATAGGCAATGAAAACATGCCTAAAAATATTAAGAAAAACTTTTTTCGGATTTCTTTTTCTTGTCGTTATTTATTTTATTTTATTTATTCATTTAATTCGGATATTTATCCGTATTATGTTAGGAAACAAGTTATAAACTATGTTAGTAAATTAGAATGTCAGCTATGTTAGCTACCAACAGCTAATTCTTACCTTACAGACTTGTGCGTTATGTGCCAAAACGATACCATTCGAAATTTAAACAATCAGATATTTATTTATTTTGAATGGGTAATCTTGACAGTTTTTTATTATTGCTATATTTAATCAGTTCTTAACAAGAATAATTTTATAATAAATCACAAACACACACTATATAACAACAAACATATAAAGATATAGTTATTTTTAAACTTTCGTGTTTAATATACATTATTTAAATTATTAACCGGGTCTTAACACGAATAATTTTATGGCAAATAAAGGTATTTACCTATCTCGACGTTTCGACTAGGTTACACTAGCCGTGGTCACGAGCTGACTGGAGTAACAGCGATGTCAATATAGATAGGTGACAGCAGTTTTTTCATCTACCGTCACTAGATTGTTCAACGAAAGTTCGCGACACACAGCACTCACGGTATCCGTACACTTATCGGCTGTTGAAGCTACTGAAATTTGCTTGAATTTATTTATGACTGGATGAATACCTTTATGGATGAATAAAATTATTCGTGTTAAGACCCGGTTAATAATTTAAATAATATATAAATATATATACATTTGCAGTGGTCACAAGCTTACTGGAGTACAACGATGTCAAGTTTTGTAGAGTGTCAAGTTTTCTCAACTAGCATCAATTGTCCCACGAAAGTTCACACATAAATGTGATAAATATCTAAGTATCTTTTTTATTATAGCTAGTAACTTTTTTTTATTTTTTTTTTTATATTAAAATTTGAGCGCGTTTGACCGCAATCTCACCTGATGTTAAATGATGATGTGGTCTAAGCTGTTACACGCAAGCTTAAATAATGCCTATTCACTCTTGACTTGGAAGACCCAATGTTGTAAGAGGCAGGAAAAATAAACGCTGGTAGAGAGTTCCACTCTTTAGCTGCTCGCATAAGGAAAGATGATGCAAAACGGTTAGTTCGAGAAGCTGGGGTGTCAATAGTGTAGGGGTGGAGCCGCTCTCTACGTCTTGTTGTACGTTGATGGAACGGTGCTGGAGGAATGAGGTTGTGCAGTTCTTGAGCACATTCGCCAAAATTGAGCCTATAGAACACCGATAGACAAGCTACTTCACGTCGGTGATTAAGACTTTGAAGCCTCTTAGGTACCTACAAGTAACTAACTGCGATTTATATATTATATTTCTTTTAGTTTATTATATATACAACATGATATCATCTGAGTTTTCAAACTAATCAGTGTGACTAATCCCAAATTTAGATAGCATCTTCCGATTAGATGGTGAGATTTCATTAATTTTATTTGTCTGTACCTTCCGCCTGGGTGGATGTTCTCTCTAATCCGTTACGGAATCGGGAAGGCGGCCCATTAATTTCACGTTCGAGAGCACATCGGCCTAATTCGTTTTAAATTGTCCAGAGCGATTTCATAGCCGTTCGGTTTGTGGCAGTATTGGAAGGGCTTATGGCGGCTCGTGTCACTTATTGATGTCGGGTCTAACCTCATAAATTTCACACATTAGACTGAACAAAGATCATGTATAAATTATAGTTTAAATGAAATGCCATGATGGTATTTTCACATCTCTCCAATAATATTTTTTATTCATAAAACAAATGAATGCTTCGCATTCATTCCAAATTTAAACTAGATACAAAAGTGTTTTTGAGTTTTTATGCCTCATACAGACCATTTAATACGAGATTTCAAAAATAGCATGGTCACGGCTTTAGTTGTAATGGTCGCGGAGTCGATTTCCTGCACGGTACAAACATTTATATTCATGACTAAGATTGTTTGTAACGGTCCGGGTGTTTTCTATTATGTATGTATTTACTAAAATTATATGTAAGTAATTGTATCCGTTATCTAGTTACTACCCATAACACAAGCTCTGCTTACCTTGGGACTAGGTGACATTGTGTGAATTGTCTAGGGATTATTTTTATTATTATTATTACTATAAGGCACTGTCAAACGTTATACACGTTATGTTATTAACCCATGATACAAAGAAAAGGTCAACTTATAGTATAAATTTGATGTGTTTTGTATCTGTCTGTGGCATCGTATCTCCAAAACTAATAAATAAATTTTGTTTTTTTTTATTCAAAGGCAACTTGATATTTTTTTGGAAGAATATTGACTCATATTATATATACCTTACTGACTAGTACTTTACCCTGCGGTCACCGACCCTTATGATGATGTCATAAAGAAATTAAACAATGAATACATCTAAAACACAATATTTAATATTTCTATATAAAATATTATAAAATTAAATTACATATTGAAATACAATAATTATAAAAATAAATAATATTTATACCACAATATTATACAGCTATCCTATTTTATTTTACAAATGAGGTAGTGTAAAATATTTACAATGTTCACTATATTGTCAAACACATAACACAAGACACGTAAGCATATATATTTACCAATATACTAGAGATCCCATTAATTGTTACTATCTTAACTATATGTTTGAATTACTATACAGGGTCAACCGTAAAGGACCACCATGGTGAAATGCCAATAGTATTAGTATATTACACAAGTAAGGCTCATGGGTGATGCCTTACTTGTGTAATATACTTTTTTAGATCGAGGCGAGGTGCTTTTATAAGATATTGTCTAATAATATATAAGTGTATACCTTTGCAAGATGAAGCTCCCCCGCGTACACGTGGTAATACGAGGGTTCGAAATTAGTACTAATAAATAAAGAGAAAATAAGACCGTGCAGTTTATATAAGGATTCTAAATCTAAAATATTCTCTGCTCATTACCCACTATGTTTCTTTGTGATATTGTAGACTATATTTATTGTTTAATATGTATTATTTATAAAATTTGATTATTATTATTGGCTAGTGCAACCTAGTCGAAATGTCGAGTAGTAAATACCTTTATTTACCATAAAATTATTCGTGTTTACCCGGTTAAAAATATAAATAATGACATGAATACTATAACCAGCTAGCCACTATTATTGCCTTTACGACTAACCCGGACAACTTGGGATATAGTTAACCAATATTTTACTAACTATACACATTTCAACATCCTTGTATTGGTACGTATATCGTATCAATTATAAAGGTATAAGGCATTGAGGAAGAATCGCTAGTCATACTTAAATACTTTCTTCTAATACCCACATAATATATATAATAAAATAAGTATTTATATTTATTATCACTTGCGGACGTAAACGCCCTGCTCGGAAAAATAATGTCACCTACTGGTACACAAATTGTGTTATCAAACCATATAAGAACACATTAAAATATAAACAAAATTTCATCTAAATCGGTCCAGCCGTATAAGAAGAGTTGAGTGACAAACACATGTACAGAATAATTATATAAGTTATACCTGCTTCGACATACTATAAAATATATAATGTAATATGTATACATTTTGATATCGTTCAAAGAAACTAGAAGGAAAAATTCAGTATCATTTACAGACGAATCTGAAACTAAACTGCTATGTAGTTCCGATTTAAACTAGTTTTGGACGAATACTAGTTTTTTTAAAGGTTGAATATGGAATGTTATACTCGACTGCGCTAACAGTATGGTTGGACACCAGTGGAGTCAGGTCAGCTTATTATACAGCATATTGTCAGGCACTAAGTTGTTTAGAAGTTTGTATATGTCAAATATTATTTAATATATAAATTCTACTGACAAGTAGTATGTATTAGTTATACTTATTTATTTTTAGTATGTTACATGCATAGATGAAATCAGTATATATTAGCCAATACTCTATAATATATTAGTAACAACAGCTATAATATAGTAGTTCTGTATTTTATACTGTAATTTGTGCCTACATTTTATATAAATTGATATAAAATTTAATTATATATTTGATCAATAACCTGTTTTTTTTTACTTATTAGTATTTTAAATGGTGCCCTTTATATTTCACTTTTGTAACCGAAAACGAGCGGTATGTTCACATAGAACATAACTTCATTTTCTTAGTATTATTTTTAATATAATCATTAAGAAAAATTTGCATGCCTTCTGATTATTAGACGAACATTTGTACTCTATTTTATTGTAACATTTATTGTAAAGAAAACAATGTTCAAACAAATAAATCATCTATCTATCTGTCTATAACATGCCATAAAGCTAAGTGGAGCTATTTCGGTGTTTTATATGCAACATTTATTTATGTAAAAACTTTTTGTTCCTATTGTATTTACACTGAATAAATATTTTTTCTAACTTTCATTATAAGAACGAGATATTACTTGATAGTCGGGTTAACAGTTGACCAGGACGTTAATAGCGTCTTAATATCAGGAGCTCTTAAATAAAATGATCACAAATATCTCGTTTATATAATATATACAACTGTAAAAGAACATGAAAAAGGTTTAAAACTGTGCATTTTTTTTATTATAATGAGTGTACGTTTGGTTTAGGATATAGCGTGCTAACCCAGAAGAAATCTATTCACCTACGGTGAAAGACTTAAAGAATCCGGTGTTGTAGTTCTCCGGAAACACGAAAACTGGAAGTGTATTCCGCTCTTTCACAGTGCGTATTAAAAATGACGTATTCGGAACATGTGGAATATCCACGACGTACGGATGAAGTCTTAGTGTTCCCAATATGTTGAAGGTGTTACGTGGAGTCTTGTAACAGCGACGAGGCGAATATTTGCTGCATTATATGCGGCAGGGAGGCTACGTCCATGCACACGTGACCGCGTCCCGCCGGCAGATCACGCAACATCCTGATTACATATAAAAATAATATTATTAACGAAGTATATGAGAGCATCATGGCCTATTGATGTAATTTGAGGTAGACAAATTACACAAAAAAGATGCGAGTTCAAATCAGACCGACAACAATAAGAGAAAAAAGAAGTAAAAATCTTCAATTTATAATGTTGCGAGGAAGTTTATGTCAACTGGATGTTTCTAAAAACTAACTTTACTTACTTATATAACATTTTCTAAAAGTATTTGTTAAAAAAAAATCTTGTTAAAATCTTTCTAGTCTTATACATTTATAATAGTAAACTTTACGAAGATATTTATATTCATTTATTTATTAATGGTCTAATATGGATGTTACATTTTATCCGATAATCTTTACCAAATAATTATAAATGCATAAATACTCACGTCGCTGCCTCATTTCCTAAACTGCCGATAAATATAACATGCGCATGAACTCTGCTATCTGAAGTCAGAATGGTACCCAACTCTTGAGGTTGTATGCCGTATCTAAAACAATCAATACACATAAATATACAATACAAAACAATACGATACGAAACTCAACTTGCATGATACATAATAGTAGTAAAAACAACATGTCATGTCCTTTTTTTTATGTAACATAGTTAATAATCTCAGAACAATTCACACAGCGCCATCTGGACCTAAGCTAAGCTAGCTAAAGCTTGTGTTATGGGATTACTCATAACATCTATATATGTATATACCTATAATATCTATTAAGATAACTGATACAAATACTTAGATTTTTTTTTTCGTAAATACATACATATTAAACATAGAAAACACTCAGACCGATACAAATTCTTGCGCTGTGCGAGAAATCGAACCCGTGACCATCGGAAGTAAACCAGTGTGCTAAAACTCTACACCACCGAGGCCGTCAAATATTTATACTTCAACTGGGATTTGTTACGGCAAAAATATTAATTGCTTAATGTGTTTATGAGGACCGATCGTCGTGGAGATCTTTGGGGAAGGCCTCTGTTCAACAGTGGACGTCTTCCGGGCTGAGATGATGATGATGTGTTTCTCTGGGTACCTTCTAAGATTGGCATCGGATAATACAAGCACAATAGCCTCATCAGCGTCTTCGTTGGCCAGCGTGGAGATGGCGTGCTTGGTCGCGGGCAGAGTGTTGTCGCCAGTCCAACAGAATTGGGAGTGTGCGTGCATCGTGCGGATTATCTGAAAATCACCTGGTAGTTTACTACCCTGAATAACGCTCAAGATATCGTGAATTCAAATCCTATACATTCCTGCCTGACTCTCCGGTAAAAGATGTAATGATACGAAATTAAACATGAAACCGAGAGATGGCAGTGGGCTCATCCCTGACAACCTAGGATTAATATCCTAAACAACTGATATAAATACTTAGATTCTTTTTTGTAAATGCATATATAACATACATAGAAAACACTCAGACCGATACAACAATCAATACAAATGACTAACCTGTAATCTCTGCTTCTCGTTATCAGGCGGTTGGTCGACCCTCACTAGTTCCAGAGCGTGGTCCTCCCCGGAGTGCGCGTACATGTCGTATCGGATGCGTGCCTCGTAACCTCGGAGCGCTTCCATCACCAGCACTACCGCCTCCATGGAACGTTCCAGACGCCCGTCGTATGAGTTGAACCTGATGGATAGATTGATTTAAGATTTTTCTTATATAGCTATAATATTATTTCATATGTATGTCTATAAGGTATTTGTGATATGGGCCTAGTTGCCTGAAATAAATAAATAATAATAATAATAACTTTTGAATATTATTTTGCATGCCGTGTTCGCCTATAAATAATTGTACATTTAAATCATAACCCATTGCATGTAAATAAATAATTTGAATGACTATAACAATTCTTAGTGATTCTAAATAGCATATGCTTTGGCGCCTTTAATTAGTATCCTTTAATGTATTATATATATTTATATATAAAAAATAGTCAGTGTAGTAGGAAGAGAAGCGGGGGTAACGGATATCTTATGACAAATAACTTAGTTCAGTCTATAAATACTAGATGGCGTTATTTATAATATTTATAATAATCTTTAAATCGGGTACTTCATTAGTATTAAACACAAACTACCTTTTTCTACAATACGGATATGATCTCTAACATACATAATTTCACTGTGTCGTCTATACATAAAAACATTGTGAAATGATGATAATACCTGTACATACTGCCGGAGACATCAACCACAAGCCGCAACCTCTTGGGTCGTTCTGGCGGAGCGCCCGGCGGCGGATCTTGTTCCGCGCGTCGCCGGTAGATGGCGCGCTCGCCAGCCAAACCTATAATAAAAAAACAATATTTTATAATTTGACGACCCGACTACGACGAAGGTGTAGTAAGTAACTTCTTCTTTTTCAGTTCAATGGCAACTTAATGTATTGACCCTAGATTGTCGCATTCGGTCGCATTTTTTAGATACTGGTGCGCATGATGGTCTCTATGATATTTATAATGCTAATTATGATGATAAGCTCTTGTCTTGGTCTTGTGCTCAGGGCTCTAGAGGTTCAGAGGGCTAGAGCGGGAAAACAGCGCGCGCAATTGTGAGTATTTGTATTATACTAGTTTTTGTGTTCACTATTTCGCGCGTAATAGCGTGATGTTTCATGTCTATTCTTTTAAAATTTTATTTTTTATTCCACAAATTTTATTTTCAAAGACTCGTTTAAGTTTATATATTGTCGACAACTCTGTAATAACATAATTACAGTTGGTGACTTTGCTTCATAGACGGATATCCGGAATTTGGTCATGATAATTAATTACTACAAAAAGGCCCTAAAGCTCGTATGACTGTGAACACGGGAATGCGCGAACTGGATTTTTTGTTCCCTTTGTCTACATTTAAACGCAGTCTTGATTACCTTTGCATGAACAAAATGTAGGTATAGTACATTTATTTTTAACAAAATTAATTTCATTGTGTGCTCTACTTAGTTTGGGATTAGATAGCGTTGTGTAATAGGTCCAGGAATGACCCTGGACCTATTACACAACGCTTTCTATTAAAATTTATTTTAATCTCCAATTTGTGTAATAATAAAAAACAATATATCTTTTATCCATTTATATCTTAACTAACTAACCCTCGCACTTCCTTTGGCATACCCGAAAAGTGATGTTGTACAATAAATATACAGAATAAAGTATATTTAATTACCTTCAATAATCTTGCCATCATCGAGTTCACCGCTGGTCTGGTGTCTACTCCATTCTCGTTCCTTCTTTTTGGCTTGCAATTCCGCCAAAACCCCACGAAGAGCACCAATCTGAAGGTATTAAAATACATTGAATTATTTTGAAAAAACTATATATCTAATATATTAATACATGAAGCAAAAATATATATGTGCCAAAATAAAAACAAAACTTAAATAAATAAAAACATTACATACGTTACCATGTATATGACACACATATACATGCTCTTATGTTTATTGTTAAAGTCTGTTTGTCTTTAATATTATTCGTCTATAGTCTTATTGAATCTCAAATATAACCATAATATATTCAGTAATTACAATATATTTAAATTAAGTATGGACAATTTCGACCACTAGGCGACTAGTTCGGATAAAGAGAGCACTCACCTGCGGTTGCACCGCTTTGAGGAACTGTCCGTACAAATTCGCGTCGTACTCGCTCATTTTGATTTCTTTGAGACGCTCCTCGAATGCTTTCCTGTTCATTTCCCGCGCTGCTTTTTTAACGTGTTCGGGGACGTCATCTTTCTCCGCTTGAGACAGCTAAAAAAACATATTCATTTATATCTATATGAGTAATAGCAGACGTAGTACTGTCCACTTGTGTTTTCAAACCATCCAAGAACCCATTAAAAATACACTCAAAATTTCGTCCTAATCGATCCAGCCTTTTAGGAGTTTAGATTATGCAGAGGTAAATAGTAATAAATAACCCCCAGAAGCATTCACACAGCGCCATCTAGTCCCAAGCTAAGCAGAGCTGGTATAGTTGATACTAGATAAATACTTAAACACATTTTTGTTACAAATACATACATAATATATTTATAACATGTATCTACATGTTATAAATATATACATAGGAAACACCTAAACCAATACAAACAATTATACTCATAAATACAAATATTTATACTATGCGAGGAATCGATCTCACGACTATCGGAAATAAACCAGTGCGTTAAACCACTAGGCAGTCAAGTGAGAGGGGATTGTTAGTAATTATGACTAGTCATCTTACGTCATGTCATGTTGACCTAGAAACCATTGTTAATTCCAATAACCAAAATGTCTCTTAAATCAATAGACCACTGAAGTCTTCGTTACCTGATGGACATCGTGTCCCTTGTCAAGGCGATAGGGCCCGCCCTTGCCGCCAAGGCCTGCAGTGTCTCGTCCGCCGGTGCCGCCCGCCCACGTGTTTCCGCCTACATGAGGCTCGTTATCAGGGTCTTCTTTGCCATGTTTAGGTGATGATACATCCTTACTATAAGAAATATTTAATAATATCAGGTAATATAAACTTTTTCAAGTCAAATGAAAGAAAGAAGAAATCGCTAGGAAACTAACCTAACACAGTAAGTAAATTTTAAAACATGAGATGAAAACAGAAATTAAATCCAAATAATTTTAATAAAGATTTTTCTATGATAATTTATTATTTTAATAAAGTGATAAAACAGTTATTTAAGAATTTCCTTTTTTAATTAAATTTGGCACCGAAATGTAGTATTGCATTTAAATGGCCTTGAGAGAAAGTGTCAAACTCGAGTGTCGAGTCCATTTTCGAATTATTTCGCTTAAAAAATCTATAGCCCCCACGTTGGGAAACACTGGTCTAGTATATTCAGTCTGCATAAACGCGGACAAATTTTTATACATGCATATTTTCATGTTGATCTAATATAATCCATACATAAATTGAAACAAATATTTCATTGGAATTACTGGCACATATAATTATAGATAATACATTTAATTCGTACATTGAATTATTTACACAAAACTTGAAAAACAAGGCTATGGATTAGATAACTGATAAAAATAATAATACATTGCAAATAATATGTTTCCAATCATTTACTTAAAATACTTCTGTCTCACCTATTTCTGTCACAATACAGCTTTTTTATAAACTGTTACGGCAGTAGATTTGCAGGATATGGAGTACAGAAGCAGTGCATGACATGTACCACAATCGTCATAATTTATTTAGTGATGATGGTTATGTTACTCGGTTCCAACTTTCCATCAAACACTACATTCCAATAATGTTTATTAAGGAAAACTTACCCACTCTTACTCTCAATAGTCATTTGAAGTTTCTTCAACGCCTCTTTAGATCTACCTTCAAGAACGCCCTCTGTCGGCAACCCGCTGGCGTGCAGAACTTCAAGCAACGTGTCAGCCATATCCTTACTGTATCTATCGAAGTCGAAAACGTTGCCAATTGCTGTGGCTATGTCTTCTTCAGGATATTTCTAGAAATAGAGTGAGAGAGAGAACTACATAAGCTAGGTTATAGATTCTAACTTTTCTTTTCAATTGTCATGGCGAACAAGCTGAAGACTCATCAGATGGTAAGGGGTCAGTCAGGAACAGCACTATGAACATCACTATATCATGTGATGTCCGTGATACCACTCATGTCTTAGGATAGGCCTCCATATTCTATTGTAGCGCGGTGGTTATCGCCTCACCACTTTAGCGTTATGTATGATGTGATGAAGTGTCGCTTCATCTGTTTATTGTAGTATGTAGTTAGTGAGTAAACAAGTGAAATAATTGCACTATTTGAACGCCTGAATCACCAGGGCTGTCACATGCGCATTGCCGACCTTTAAGAAACCTTAATATACCCTTCTTAAAACAACCCATGCGGTAGTCTCTAGAAAAAACCTCAGCAGGTAGTTCATTCTACAATCTAAGTGTACGCGATTCTTACATTGATTTAATTTACATAAATAATATTTTAAAACCTCCGTATTGTGATATTACCTGCAAATGTTTCACTATATTCACTAACTCCCTGGTAGAGTACGGGTATGTCAACTGCCCTTGGTCGGCCTTATCGCGGAGTACTGCAAACGCTTGCACCAGCTTCTTCATGATCTCTGTTGGAACATCAGGTCCGTAGGAACGAAGTAAGTCCATCTCAGATTCGATGGACGGGTTGTCCACCGCGTGACATGAGAAGAGGTCACCTGGATAAAAATAATTACATTGCTCCTGTAAAAACTTGTGACCAACAGATCTACTGAAGTCTAGTCCCCTATATCTATCTATTTAAATATAAATGCAACGCAATGCATTTTTGATAAATGAAAAATAGTTGTTGTAACCATTTGAACTATACTGTAGTTCCTTGTAGTTCAACATTAGTCAATGCAGTGTGGAATATAATCGAGACTATACCGAATAAATCAAATAATTTCTTTTTCCTTTTATACGAACATATTTCTAGTGTATAATACAATATTTTTAAGTGAGATACGAAGCAAACCATTGTCATTAAATGGGACTCAAACCTGAGTAGACAGGGAGCAGGCTATCTATAAAACTAGACCATTTTTTCTAACTACTCATGCTTTGGGTCATTGACACTTAGCATGGATCTGCGTGAATGTAACAAAATTACATACCTAGAGCTGCAAAGAAGTCATTCCCCAAGAATGGGAAACCAGGCCTGTTAGCAAGCACAATCATCTTAAAATCATCATGTACAGGAATAAAAGTTTCCACATCTCCGCCAGATATATCTATCATATGCTTAGGCACAATCCTTCTTCCATCGCTTAAAATCATTTCACCATTTTCTACTAAAGTCTTCAATATACATGTAACATGTGTAGGTGCTTTATCTGCTTCGTCTACAACTAAAACGTGGCCAAATTTAACAGCTTTCACTAATGGGGAATCTTCATATACCACCACACCATCCTTAACAGTCGGTTGAACCGTCAACGATTGGACCGTTGTATCTCTATGGAGCTGTATATACTCCCTTGGACGGTTCAAGAGTTGTAACAGTCTGTCAGCTATCTTATTCTTTCCCACTCCTTGATTACCCACTAGGAGTAGATGATTGCCGAGCAAGAGGTCCTGAAGTAGCCACTCTAGTAATCTTATATGCTGTGGTACATCATAGAACAATATATCGGGCACTTTTGTTAGCGCTTGCGTTTTATATACATCTGTACTTGTGTTGCCGATTGTTAGGACGCCATTTTGTACAGAACAACCGATTTTCTTCTCTTTCTGATTAGCAACACTAAAACGACTGGGTGGTTCGATGCCCAAATTCTGACTAGCGCCATCTAGTGCCCTTCTAGCTAGATTAGGAAGGAATTTCGCTAGGAATGTTCTTTGGATCGTCTCGTAAGCAGACTCCGTTGGATATTTCGCCATTCTACTCGCGATTCTTAACAGCTGCCGCGTGGAGAGAGACGTTGAAAGATTCTTCAGTGTGCTATCCTCTGAATATCTGAGTTCGTCTGCTAAGTCGATAATTGAGTGCAGAGGGTCGGATATGTCGCCATACTGAAAATAAAATAACGGATTTTATATATATTTTTTTTTTAAACTTGCGTTTTTATACAGTTTAACTATCTATGTCCTGCGGCGCTGCCCTCGTGAAATGGGTGATTTTTTAAATAGATTAATTAATACTGTAATTATATATTTTATACGATCTATATATGTTTTTATTTTTTAAAGGATATTTATGTCTTTACAACACTAATCCGACGACTAACACCACTATCACTGTGTTAGGTAGGCTGGAAGACATCTCTTTCATAAGATAAGATAATACAGACTCACATTTTTGTATAAGAAAGAAAGGAAGAAAGAAAGAAAGAAAGAAAGAAAGAAAGAAAGAAAGAAAGAAAGAAAGAAAGAAAGAAAGAAAGAAAGTATAAATATAACAATCCTATTTAATGTTTGAAGCGCAATAAAGTATACATACTTTTTAGTTTATCCATTAAATAAACAAACATATAATTATATGAGCGAGCTAGTGAAAATAAATTTCATTCCCAATTTAAGTAGTTTAGCATATGGAACTTTGACTATAATTATGTCAGGGCAATCGGAAAATAAAAGCCTTTTGATTTGTCTTACTCTCATGAAATATTCCAGATAGTCATATAGTCCAATCTTACCAAGGCATTGATAACAGAGATCTCCTCCTCTTTGCTAAGGTTTCTCATCTCGTGGAATATGAATAGACTCAGTATCTCTGGTGAGAGCCACTGCTGTCCGCGTCCAAGTATCGGAGGCTCTGCCAACGCCACAATCCTGAAGTGACACTTTGGTTAATTTTTATTATTGGAAAGGTGCAGCCGCCTGCGCTAAATATATTTTGATATTAGGGTTTCTAAGCAGGCCCGGTCCAAAAAGTAAATACAATACTATCTAAAATATCTACTACGGTAAAAAAAGGAAGGTAAAGTATTGAAACGCCTTAAAAAAATTATAAATTGTAACTAAGAATTGTCTCTAGGACAAAAAAATTTGCATAATAATCAGTCTATTTGTCTATGAGTTATAATGCCATAGACAGACGTACATACGGCAAACTTTTAAAACTATTATTTTTAATCACTACAAAGATATCAAAACAACTGTGTGAGTAACAACAGTTGTACGAGGCTGGAACCCGTCACCATCAGAATACAAGACAGTGTAAAACCCTATAAGCATTGTTAAAGAAAACTGGCCTAAAAAAATAAACGGTAGCGAGAGTGATAAAAAATAAGACGTGCATAAGATTTGAAAATTTGAAAACTAAAAAACACTTTAGATTATTAACCTAACCTAACCTCCCCTCCGATCAAATCCCGTCGAATTCAAACGAGGATCGAAATTACGACGGCCTGAGCTGAGATTCAAAATAACGGTACCCTCAGACTAAACTCGTATCCGTCAGGCAGGAGCTGGACTTTAGCCGCTCCATAAGTCCTTCTGCACTCGCCCCCAAACGTCCAGTGAAGTAATAAAAGCCAGCTGCAGGTTAGAGCAGCATTAGTGCAGCATGCAGCAGCAGCATTAGTCTAAAAAAACTAACCTAAAAGCAGGATGTATTCTCTTAACGCCGCTTTCGTCCAGCTGCTGAGCGCTATGTCCAGCCTCGAGCAGTTCATCGTAGCGGTCGTGTCTCAATAGTCTGGTACCGTCATGTAGTTGTAACTCTCGATCGTGTACTAATCTACAAATAAAACATACAAATTTAAAAGCAAATTATTTATTTTAGGAAGATTAACGGTGTCATTTTACATGTTACTGATCATATTAAATTGACATATGCCAATTAATAATCTTCACCAATAGTTTAATTCATATAATTTATTAACATGCTATATATTAATAAATTATATGAATTAAACTATATCTCTGGAATAACAACGCATGAATGGTAACACCATTGGTATGTAATACCACAATGGTAACACCACCACGCCATGTTTGTCATTACAATTATATTAAAAAAAAAACATATACAATATAACATTAATAATAATAATATTTATTGGGCACAAAATATTTACAAAAAAACTTACGTAACGTACACGTACGTAAACGTAATAAATTTGTTAACCGGAGGTTGCCTTGAAATTCCTTTCAGCAATAAAGCCGCCTTCTTCTTATACGCACATATTTACTTTACTAATTAATTGTACCTATCCTTTAATTAAATATTTAAATAAAGCATATTCTATTATCTATCTAAATCTTTTGTTGAACACATTTATGCAGTGTTATTTTGTACTTACTTATTCAGTGCATTATTGTTATTTACCTGTGCAACACAGCTAAGGTACTGGGATGTATCCTGTGCAGACCATCCAGCACGGCGAGATGACCTTTCAATGCCGCTTCCACCAAAGCCGAGTTCTTCCAAACAGTATCCCCATTGTCCAATGTTGTACGCTGTTGCATCAGATCTCTAGCTGTCATATCCTGGTAAAGGACAATGGGCTCTATTGTATATCCTAATAAGGATGCCAGTTGATTGACTAAGAGGCTTTTGCCGCATCCTTTTGGACCTGAAACAAAAACGGTGAATTATGAAGTAAAATCCTACCCACATTATAAGTAGCATTCACACCTATACCATTTAAAATGAAATGCATGTTGCCGTATTTGGAATGGAGAAGGTCTTAGGTTACTTTTCAGTAGACGCATGTCATATATATATAATAAATACAATAAACATTAATTATTATATATTTCGAAATACTATAAAGCAAAGTTACTGTATGTGTATTTATTCATCTACTTCAATTTTACTGAAGTCAAGATACATTTCGGAAGTAATAATACATTTAGAGTAAGTAATCACTATGTTTTAAAAGACATTCTAATATAATGTACATTGTTCAACACTGGCCGTATTAGTATTGATAAAATATATTTGAATTTCGAAAATGCTTTGGTTCTATTTGAAAGTATTCGAAATTTAATTGATGGTTCGATTTAGAACATGAATAGTGTAAGTGAATATGTATGTAATGAAAGTGATACACTTTCTCGCTCACATGCACATATTTAAGTATTGCATAGCTGTCAGCAATTGCTTACAAATTAACTTAGTTTTAATATTAAATAATATCGAAATGATTTTCTATTAAAACTAAGTTTATTTGCTCAATATCAACTAAATTATTAAAATTCAAACTCACCAACTATACAAAAATCTCCGACACTGTGACTCAATAATATTTCGCACAACAATTGACTTTGATATGCAGTTTTTACTATTCTTTTATCATCTATCCCTTTCTTACTCCTCACACCGCATGCCACACCAAATTGTGATTTATGTCCATTAATCTGGATAGTCACTGAGGCTTCATTTTCTTTGAATTCAATCCCTTGCATAGATATGTTCCACTGGGACTCAGTGTCTACTTTAAGATTACTGAGAACAGCTTTCACATTTCTTATATGGTCTTTGGTCAAAAATGTATTGTACGGATACAGTAAATACAACAGCGTATGGGTGGGAATAGCTGGATTGCGTTCCTGAAAAATAATTTAATATTTCATTATTATTTTTAATATATACAAGTAACAAAAACAACCTAATACGAACTAACGAATATATTTTTTTCGATTATCCGGGCCTGTCGATCGACCCTGTCACCTGTCAGAGCATCGTCTGCATTTTTAGTTGCAGTTTAAAACGTATTTTATCCAGTAAAAACGCCGTATTACAAAAGAATTGAGAAAAGAAATACTTATTTTAATAAATCACTTTTAACTACTTAAATTATTACTATAATATATTATAAATGTTACGTTAAAGTTCTACTAAATGATGTTCCGGAATTACGCTAAAAAATGTTAAACAAAGCTGTCTGTTACATGGTATTGTATATTAAAACAGCGTTAAGTGTTACTATAACAGTAAATTGTTATGTCATTATTATAGCAATAAAAAACACCGCACGAAACTCAGTCGCCTAGGTACTCTGTAATTTACCAACTTTTCAAATTAAAACCCCTGACCTTTTTAACTTTCATTTGAAGGTTAACTGCAACCGAATCACCTAGATAACAATAGGCAAAATAAACACGATATTCACAAATTACTTTAAAACTTTAAGCTGGATTATCAAACGAAATAGAATAAATAAAAAAAAAGTCTGGGGTGTTTCTCAGATATTATTAAATGAATCTGTAACCATTTAGGCAAATATTTTAAAATATTTCATCAGACTTAAAAAAGGACGAAGTTCTTAATTCGGCTGTTTAATTTTTGCTGCATATACCCATTAACAATATCAGTTCGTAACCAAAAGCACTCAAATCAAATCAAAACAAAAATAATTTATTCATGTAGAACATTTAGCCGCTTATGACCGTCAAGTTTTTTGTATTAATATTTTCTTCTGTACTGAGTCTCTTTTAATGCTTCTTTTCTTAGTCTCTAATGTTAATAACACGACGATTTCCATTGGGAAGTGAAACTAACACCTATAGCTATATAGCATAATATTACATATATTAGCTAAGGTGCTATTCCTTTCTATCTTTTAATTTTGTTTGTCCTTTAGATATTGGTGAAATTAAGTGTTATAAATATAAATATTTATTTATTTATATATAATAATTAACAATCCTCTTCTCCTGTACCTTAATAATAAGAATTTATCTCTTTATTACGCATTCATAAATATTAACAAAAAACTTTACATAGATATACTAAACAAAATGCAATTATCGCTATAAGTAATTTCTAACAGACAACCTGCGAGATTAAACCTTAAAAGTAAAGAAAAGATACATCATCACATAGTATAAAACAAAGTCGCTGTCGCTATCTGTCCGTCCCTATGTATGCTTAAATCTTTAAAACTACGCAACGGATTTTAAGCGGCTTTTTTTAATAGATAGAGTGATTCAAGAGGAAGGTTTATATGTATAATACACGTAAACCCGTGCGAAGCCGGGGTGGATAGCTAGTACTATATAAACAGAATAGATAATAAATCAATACAAAATATATACACATACAAATACTACAGGTAAACATATTATTTGTTATATGTTTTCAATTAGTTTAAAAACTTTTAGTTAATCTAGTAAATTTACTGACATTTCAATATAAGGTCAGTAGATTTATTAGAAATACATAATCTATTCTAATGTCAGGAATCGGACCTTGGCACTGAACAAGTTTGTGTCTGATGACAATTTTGCGTGAGTTACCATATTACGATCTCCATGCTGGGAGGCTTTTAAGGTCAAACGCGACATGAGCATCATAAGGGTATGTTGTGATCCCATTTATTGACTTACTAGCTACTCGTCCCGGCTTCGCCCGGTGTACGGTATACATGTATTATACATAACCTTACTTTTGAATAGCTTTATCTATTAAAAAAAAAACGCTTCAAAATCCGTGGGGTAGTTTTAAAGATTTAAGCATACATAGGGACGGACAGCCAGCCACAGCGACTTTATTCGATACTATTTAATATTAAATAGAGTAGATATATATTTTGTGCGAAAGCAAAGTGGATACCATGTTTTAGGTGTCTGTATATCTCTCTATTTATAATATTACTATAGATACACAAAACACTACAGGGATCAGATTTTTTTATGAGGAAAGCGAAACTACTGCACCTAGCAATTCTTTCCTTCATTATTCCAGAATGAACAATACAAAACTTAGCTAATAGCAGCATTTTAACCAGTAGAATATAAACAAAATGAGAAGTTATTTAGATTTATGTACATATGACAGTTTCATTTAGATTTGTTCAATATTAATGACTGATTTCCACTCATGCTTCGTACTTTTTATTTTAAATAAATACTCTCCAAAGCTTGTCTGGAAGAGATTGCATTAACGATAAGACTACTTTTTGAAGTTTTATTTCGTTCATGTACTTTGTATATTGGTGCAATAAAGTGTTATATATACCGGAACATGTGAAACTAAAATACACAATAATTTGTTAAAATAACTAAATTACAATTTAATAAAAAAAATACATTTTAAAAATAATATATTCCAAATAGCATGCTCAAAATAATCGACACTTCAGGTAAACTTTCGAACTGCAATTTGTCTATGTCTATGCACCCAACCTATGAAACCTTGCCCGTACATGGGTACGGTAGTACCAAACAAGGAAAAAAAACTATTTCAGGACATTTCAGGAAAATACAAGTTTGAAACATTTATAAAGAGTTGATTTACAAATTTTGTAGAACCGTTGTAATGTGTATAGTACTAATATATATATTTGAATTAAATAAAAAGGAGTATTGAGACCATATTTGGTGTGTAATCATGCAATGTGTTTCATCTCTTACTTTTATACTGTACAAAAGTTGTGTTGCTGCTTTTAGAGATTGGCCTGTTTGGAATACGGCTGTTTTTAAAATTATTTATTACTCTGGTGGTCACTTTACTCCGTAATTTAATTTAAACAAGAAACTGTATATTTGTAATCATGTACAAGCTCATTTGAAAAGAATAAGTGCTGAATTTCTTGTCAGTTCTTTAGCTCGAAAAATGCTTACAAGATGAGCATGGCCACTATTTTCAAAGGCATATGAAAAGGTAAGGTTATGCAGTGTTGTGTAAGTGCTTGAATGCGTTTATGGACTGAGTTTCAGAGCCGTGAAATTTTACGAATTCGAACGAAACGAAATACAATGTCTGTAATGTAGTTCACATTGATATATTGGTGACGGTTATCACTTACCATCTAGTGCACCATTAACTTGTTTGTTTTTCGAATTATATAAAAAATCCATAAGTAAAAAAAACAGTATTAGAAAATTGGTAGAATATACTACGATAAGTACAAAGTATTAATTAAATTCTCACCAAAATAAGTGCAGCCGCATGTAAGTTATCCACAGGGAAATCAGGTAAGTTGACCATTTGCAGTTCAGGGCTGATGAGGGCGTAAGCAGCTTCCAATAGATGCTCCAGCTTAGCCACGTTTACGTTGGGAGCGTCCTCTTTCAGCAAATTCAGGTGTTCCTGTAAATATAGAAAGAATATTATAACGACGACATTAGCTAGAGATAAGGATACGCGGATGGTTGGCAGTTGGGTTTGTATGACTATTGTAGCATGAATATTTGGAGTGAAAAATTATAATAATTAATACAGTAATAATATCCCTGGACAATTTACAGAACGCCATCTAGTTTCAAAATGAGAAATAAAAATATAGACTATTTTTTGTAAATAGGTACATATTATACATATTATACATAGAAAACACCTAGACCGACTCAAATAGTCTTGCTTAATAATTAATCATTTCTTCTGTCACACATATAGATGTGTTCGTTACTTATGGCATATGCCATAAGTAACGAACACTTTGTAAATCGACATGTTACAAGTAAAGTAGTAAAGTAAGGTACTTTTTATTTTACTAATATTATATTTACTAATATAAAAAGGACCTTCCTTTCGGCGGCAAATATTTCCGAACTTCTATTATCTGTATTATTACAATATAGAACTTCGTAGACAGCGTCTACAAATGTCTACAAGTTTGATTACATTCGTGTCTATTCCGTAGCTCTTTCGTAGACTTTATATACAAAAATGCTACGGCAAAACGTTACAAGAAATGACCTTTGAATTATAACCAATTTTTATGGTATAATATATATTCCATAAAAACATATATTTTCATTTTGCAATGATACCTTTATGAGACAGTAGAACAAAGAAACCGCGTGGAATACAACTATTAAAGATGAAATGCTTCTGTTTTTCTAGAATTACAAAAATCTGACGGTCCATGCCTTTGTGGTGAATAGTAATCATCGTCTATATGACATCAAATTATCATGTGACGCTCATGATACCACTGATATATTGCCATTCCAGAGAACTATGAAGTTATGTTACTCAAATAACTATTCATTTATTTATGTCATTTGCTATTTAATAGTTTGTAATTCTTAAAAAAATTATTCTAAACAACATTTGTTGAAAAGAGCAACACTCTCATTTCATTCTTCTTGTGAGACTCATCGCAAACGCGTTCCGAATGAGTGGTAAAACCAAAAAATATGACTATTCAAAAGTGCTTATATAATATTAAGTTTATTGGAATAAGGATTATTTCTATTCTATTCCATTCATGCCTTCATATCCTGTAATTTCACTACCTTGTTTCACCCCTGAACCGTTTAAAAAGCAAGCTCTTGATTGCTGAAATAGGTGAGTCTGCGGTATATACACAAATTACTTTTTCTACCTAACCAACCGTTTCTATCATAGCCTACCTCGGTTGTAATATAATATTATCAATCGCAATAAATCACTAGCTATTTATAACAGGATCATTATTGCCAGGGTTGTGTTAGTTGTGTATAGACAAAATTAATTTACCGAAGGTCGCTCGAGTCAAATGCAAATTAGAGATATTAAAAGCATTAGCAATGTTGTCTTTATGTTAATATTTATGAATTAATACAGTATTACATTAATTTAGATTTATATTTTACTACTGCGTTATCAAGTATAAGGTTTTCAACCAATTGCCAACAAGACTATATTTTCGATTGACTTTATATTTATTTTTAATATATCGCACGCTTAATAGTAATTACATTAATATGTAAAAAGAATAATAATACACTGTTACAGTTGTTATCCCAGATGGGGCAGTCAGAGGCATTATCAACTGTCGATGTCATGATAAATTCAATACTTGACAGCGAACATTTCAATCCAACATAGTAGGTTGCAAGTCTTCAGCCGTCTCTCGGGTTTCAATTTTTATTTTGATTTAGTTTCCCTTCACAGATGTGTTAGTCGGAAATACAGATTAAGACACAAAGTTTCATTTATTGGTATCAACCAGATATACTCACGACCTTATTGGCTTTAAGTAAGAATAGTAAACCATGACATAAAAAATAAATATTATTCTTTTCCACCATTAAAATTTCCCGACTTCAAAACTAATTTGAGAATCGAGCGTTGTTTCTCCATTTTGGTCGTAGTAGGTACCGATTTTATTATAGTGTTTGCTTATGGTTGGTATGTATAAAATAGACGTGTAATAAATAAAAAGAACTGTGTCAAATCTACCGCACATATATCTTTCATGTTATTCAACAAACAAATATGAAACTATAAAACCCCTGTCACATAAACCATACGGCTGTACATTTGGAATATGCTTTTTGGGCGTAAAACAAACAAAGTAACTGTCTGAAATGGGAAAAGTATCGGATTTACGCCCCAGCACGGTGTGACGCGCTAAACACGCGACACAAAAATAACACACAAAAAGAACATAATGTATTTTCAACTTTATGTATCAGTTATAATAAAATACATATTGTCTTTTCGTATATAACACAAGCGACCCGCTCCGGCTTCGCCCGGATGCAAGTTTATTGTAGAGATTACTAATAGTTTATTGGAATTAAATGAAAAATTTAAGTTAATAAAGTTTTAACACGGAATAATAAACCATCCTATAAATCCCAAGTTAAGCGGAGTTTATGTCATGGACACTAACGCAAACTAGCGACCGTTTTCACTCCATACACGAGTCTTTAAATGCCTAACATGTAATATGCATTGATAACTGACCTAATATACATATATATACTATAACAAAAATACAACTCTATGTTTTCATATATGTGTATAATGTCACTAGTGAGTACAATTATATAGACTATAAAGATAGCCAAGTCGAATGTCTATTCTTTCCTTATAAACGCAAAAGAATACCTTTAGAAAAACCTTGTTTTTCTATCAGGTGTAAGAAAAATACAACTCTATGTTTTCATATATGAAATGTCACTAGTGAGTACAATTAAGTAGACTATAAAATCAACCGACTGCGGCTACAACATGCCATGACTGAACCCCATTAAGAACAACCCACCAAGGGAAACAATTTTCCCGCAATTAATTCTGACAACTTATTAGTACTGAACCCACGTAATGAACGTTTCACGTTTACAACGAGATAATTATAGAAGTTTTATTTACGGACAATTGCGGGACTTGTTGTTCGTCTGTACTTGTATTGCTCTATCTGATATTAATGGTGTAGCAATTGAACGCGCTGTCTTAATTTTGTGGGTCAGAGGTTCGAATCCGGTACTATAAAATCATTTTATTCATCATTATGATAGTCTGGACTTTATTTCTATATATATTTAGCTTCTTTGCGACTGTATTTAGAAAAATAAGGGGGGAATTCAAAGGTGTCAAGTAACATAAATAAAACACAATCCACATACATACTGAGACATTTACTCCTTTTTGAAGTTGGTAAACTGCCAACATCAAAGGGAATTCTTTTCCCCGTATCATGAATTCACGACTCAGTCGGAGTGACATTATCGGATCAAAGTATCACATAAGTGTTTAACTTTGTTATCTGTGGATTCTTACTAAGTAACGCTATAAATTGCATTTGCTGAGATATGGTGTAAGGATCACTCAGTTACATTAAAAAAAAAGATTAACAAATAATAAGTTCTTAATTCTACATTCATTTTTGTAATATAAATATACTTAATATTTAATACAAAATTGAATGAATTACTTTTTCAATCGGGATTACTTTCGTGTTGGTATCAAACACAAACATAGATATTTACTAATATTAGTGGCGAAATTTGAATTTTTAATTTCCCATTGTCTAAAGGAAATAATTTAATTTTTGTACCTTGTACTTGTATCGAATAAACTCAGTACTCAATCGATAAATTCTTTCATTGTATGTATTGTATAGTATTTCAGAGTGAATTCATATTTTATGCTCCCATGAAGGTCAGGGCGGGTTATTAATGAGGGAGAACATTAAAACATACTCAAAAATATTTAAACTATAAATAGCTACATTATCGACTAATAATATAGGCTCGTATATTTTAAAAAGAATTTCATATCCCTACAATTATTGCACCAAGCAAAGTAAGGGTGGGTAGCTAAACTATAAATGTAACTGATCGCTGTCCCAAGAAAGATATACGAGAAAAACTAATTATTAGGGACCATTATCAACGTAACAGAACCCAAAACAATGATGTTAAATTTTTCATTAATATTAATTTCAAGAACAACAGTTTACATCATACACAAACTTTACTAATATAGATCTTAAAACTCAAAACAATGTATGTTAGATTTTTCATTAATATTAATTTCAAGAATAACAGTTTACAACATACACATTTTTACAAACATAGATCTTGACGTATACCAATTAAAAAAAGTGATCAGTTGTGTTATTTACAACGGTCTTTGCACTAAGCGTAGGGGCCACTTGCGTACTTGTATCGCAGGGGCCAAACTATATTTTATCTATAAGTTTACTGTTCTAGGGCAGTCGGTTCTGATAATACATTGAATTTACATTTTAATAAAAGTACTTTTTATCGTTTGTGTGCCCTAATCATAGAAGTTAACAGCTTTGTGTCCGACATTAATTAAGCATTTTGGTACGCTTCACTTAAAATTGTTTATTTCCTTTCACAAAACATAAAAAAATAAAAAAATATTTTTCCGAATACCACTGCGTATAGTTACAAAGTCACGGGCTCAGCTAGTACAAAATATATTAACGTATCTACGAAAATAGCCAGCTACCCAAATAGACTCCACTCCCGCCCATTGAACATTAATATCCAAACTGACAGAGATGTTATCAAGTCGGCTTCATTACCAAACAAACTTCGGTTCGCCGAAACTACTTATTTGTGGACATAAAACTTAGGGGTTTCGTGAGAACTACCAGTTTGATTTCCTGTTACGAAAATTATGCGGAACCGTAAGGGAAATTTATTATGCGCTAATGTTGTAGAACGCATTTGGCTATGTGGCCTTACCTAGCTTCTTAATATATTAAAACATACATATTTAACGGGACCAAGTTACAATCCAATATAATTTAAACTTTTAAAATCTAATATATAAAATTCTCGTGACATTTTGTTCATAACAAACCTCCTCCGAAACGGCTTGACTGATTCTTAAACTTTGTGTGTATATTCAGTAGGTCTGCGAAAAGACGTAATTATATTTGACACTCCTAAATAATAAGGATGATCTACTACATTTTATTTTTATTTTTTGGGCAAAATTATTTATATTATGATTCTCCATTAGAAAATACTAGCGACCTTAAATTTTCACGCTTTTTTTTAAACTAACAACCCTTGACTTTTAATAACGATACTAATTTATACGGCAACATAAAGTTTGCGAAGTCTGTTATTATATATATTTCAAAAGTTTAAAGGGTTCGGTTATAGGAAATCATCATCTCATATGATGCAGTCAAATTGCAGGATTCGGCAGGTACCGCATGAGTGGTGGTACCATACTTCAAGTACTTATATATATATATATATATATTTTTTTACCATCAAATGTCCCGTATCTTGTTCGCCTTCAAAATTAAATAAAAAAACATATAGTGAAAATGTATAAACAGGATTATACTTGGTTTTCAAATATAACCATAATCAGTTACAGTGAAGAACGTTGCACTGTAACATCAGCATTGCAATTAAAATATAAACGTATTTAAATAGCAATAAAAATTTAGTATTGGCAGCAACATAGGAATTAATACGATATATGTGTTTCATCATAATTACATAGTATAAAACAAAGTCGCTGTCGCTGTCTGTCCTATGTATGCTTAAATCTTTAAAACTACGTAACGGATTTTGAAGCGGTGTTTTTTTATAGATAGAGAGATCAAGAGGAAGGTTTACATATATAATACATATACACCCGTACGAAGCCGGGGTGAGTAGCTAGTTTCTTTACAAAGTAAACAAAAGGTCTTATTGTGCTCCTTCTTAAAATATATTAAAATTAAAACAATATACAAACAAGAAACTATAAAAATATAAAACAAATACAAAAAACATTTGGGGACTTCTCTAAATGTCTACAAGTTCCTTTCCAAATTCATATGACAACAAAACTATAAACAAACTTTGTTGAAGTTTCAAGTTTTTATTAACTATACTCCAAACATATTTGTGCTTGCAGGATTGCATGCGAGTCAGTCCTTAGGGGACGATAAAACCGATCACATCGGTAGAGCGACAGCCAGTCACAGAAAGGACTGCGATCGGATACCACGTCGCTGTCGTTACATACATTACTAGTTGCTATAGTAAATATTAAATATCCAATATTATAAAATATCATAACAAAAATTAACATTATTTTCAAATAATTCCATTACATCCAATAATTTTCATTGCGAATGGTCTACGCATTTTCGAGCAATATATTGTCTACGTTTCGTAGGCGGTCTACGAGGCGGTCACGATTTCGTAGCACAACATTGTAACAATAAACAGGTGAGTACTATTATATATCTCTCCTATTCTTAATATATCTGAAATAATATTTCCATTACGTTTTTACTTTGTGGATAATGTAATACAAATATAAATGAACTTTATTCAATTTTTTATGCAATTGGCTGAGGACTCACCTAGTGGCGAGGAGTAAATGTCGCCTATAACATGAACAGCACTAAATTCTTTTATATTATTTGTTTGCTCTTTTAAACAAATGTTATATAACTTTTTTTTAATTTTTTTTAGTATTTTGTTTGACCAAATCACAGGAGTAAATTATTAAATATTCAGTCGTAGTTAATTTAATTAACAATGAAAAAAAATGCATTCAACATGTTCATTAATTTATTAATATGAATATATTACAACTATTTGTTAATAGGTATTAACAAATTAATGAAACGTACAATAAACATATTTTTATTATTTTTAATATACTTAAATACGGTCGATATTTATGTATAATAATAAAAGTATTAAATATGAACATGTACAATAAATATTACATTTTTTTTAATAGTTAATAATTATCCATTTTTATGAAAAAGTATTAAGTGATATACAATTTTAAATCTTCGAATATAGGTGTTAAACTAAATACAATAACATTTAGTTATTTTTATACACTCGTGTTTAATATATACAAATATTATGTGCCATAAAATTATTCGCGTTAAGACCCGGTTAATAATATAAATAACAATATTTAGTCATATTCTTAATAAAAACATATACATTTATGCGGCATTAACTTTAAATAACTTTTAAAGTTCTCTCGTCAAATTGGTATCAAATATAATCAACTCAAATTTATTGTATCAAACAACACAGTACACTCCATAATGACTATAGTACATAGTGTATTCTTAAGTTAATAACTATGTTCAGTGTTTTTAGAACTTTAGTCTGTACTAGTACTAGTACATGGTTATTCTGTTACGTCAGGGCCCATTCATGTTTCAATTAATCAACAGTAAATGGGTGTTGATGGAGGTCTCATTTTCCGAGCAACAGGCCGCGGTAATAACGTGCATATAAATCACAACACAGTGACAGCGTACCGAGAAACTCACAGTTTGAGTTCGTGTAATGTAAACATGTTATAATGTTTACTAATATCATAATTTAGAAAGTATGTCTGTCTGTTACCTTTTCAAGATTAAACGGCTAAACCGATCATAATGAAATGATATAACGAAATTAAATGATAAGCTAATAAGCATATAGAAGGACATCATATATGCATAGATCTCAAAATATAGAGCATGGCAGACAAAATCACCAGTAATAACTACTGTATATTTAATTATATTTTTTATCTTTTATGAATTCATAGGTAAAATGTAAACTTGAACAATATTAATGAACCAACAGACAAGTTTCTTGATCATTCATTTTGGCTGATTATGCGTTTTGAATAACGATATAATAAAAAAACTTTAAACAAAGATTGTTGTTATTCCTAACAAATAATATAAATTATGCTAGGTTTCAGCTATGTCACCTAGCCTACAGTGGGTGCTTGGGTATAATAGCTTTGAATATAGTAGAACATTGTGTATGGTAAAGAATAGTTAATTTACAATATAGCAAAAATTATTTAAAAAAAACAATAGAGAAGTGAATAAACATATTAATAATATCACTCTGATTAAGAATAAAAATAAATAATCTAAAATACACTATAATAAAAATAATATTATGTAACTGACATATACTAGATTAATTTCACGAAAGTGAAAGTGATATAGCATTAGTTATTATTGATTTTTTTTAATAATAGATATTTTTTTATACTTTATTAATATATATGTTACAATGTGACAATAACCACAATGAAAAGTGACTGGAGCACGCTAAATTGGCCTATATAGTTTATATACATCTACGAAAACTACCCCAATTATTTACTACAATAGCTTGTGAATAACGAGCAACATGGGGTTAGGGAATAGCATGACGTTGCACCACTGAACAATCATTATTTTGTAGCATTGTGGATTTGAAAATTTCATAGTAATTTCAATTATATACCCCCACTGTAGTAATTCGTATAGTAGACAGAAATTTATAAACTTAATTTGAAATACCTATAAATCACTAAATGGTAACTTGTTTAATTAATAATTAGTAAAGAACTAGTTGAGTGGATATTAAGTGAGTTCTTCTTCTTAATTTTTTTTTTGTGTATGTTACGCGACAGACCAACACGCAAGTTTCTTGCTCATTCTTCTAGCGAACAGTCAGTTTTGGTAGAATAAAAAATTGTGACTATTCAAAAGTGCATATATTAAGTTTATTTGGAAAAAGATTATTTCTATTTTAATGTCATAGCTAAAACTGAAACGATTTTAATTGCATTTTTAAAATATATAATTCAAATCATCTCTACCGGATAACAAAGGTTATACCTGTTAGATGTGTATCAGCAATTCATTAAGTTTAATAACAGTGAATTTTACTTTAGAAAATAAATATACTGAAGAATAATGTTAAATATTTATTACTCAATAATGCTGAAACTACTTAACGGAATGGAATTAAATTGTACTAAACAAGGATAAATTATATACTAAATGAATATATAATTCATTTTTCACTATAAACATAATAGAAAAATTAAGATACTCGGTCTCTCTCTGGTTATAACCAGTCTTTTATGTAAAGTTCATGTAATGTCTAAATTAATAGTACATATATAAATAAATCGTTATGAACATAGCTATACAAAACGGAACCCATTTACAAAGAAAACAAAACGTATTCGAAATAATATGTTATCGTGTTTGGTTACAGAAACCGCAACGGCATGTATACGAAACGGAAAGCGAATCAATTATGTGAACAAAGGGAACTTTCGCATGCATTAGAGGCAGTCGCGTGACCGCATGCGTTAGCATTTAACTCGAGTGCTCTGTAATATGCCGGCACTCTGGCAGTCATCCCAAGGGCCTATGTACGTGAAGACGGTGTGGGTGGACGGGTTCCGACATGCCATATTGTCACATGACGATCCCTTTTTAATAAAGTTGAACGCTAAAAAGCGACGTCCACATTCTTCTGCCAGTACAACGAACTCAAAGTTTACGCCGAGACACAGGAATTCTAGACTGAGCAGTCACGAAGATAGTTTAGAAGGTTGCTTGAGGAAATTAGACTTTGTGATCAGAAGTGATAAGTCTAATATAGCAATTCGACCGCGGAATAAGAAAGTGTACGACCTCGACATAGAACACTTAAATTTGACTGATGTGGAGCCGGAGTCTGAAGACGAATTTATATTAAAGGCGACTCCGCAACCGCTGAACGAATTCGACAGCTGCAGATCGAACTACAGCTTTAACCTGAACATGAGGAACTTAAGGTTAAACAGGACGGCAAGGACGGAGGTTAAAGAGAATACAGAGCTATCCGATAGAGTGTTTCAATGGCTCGACTTGGCAGGTAAGGTGAATTTGCTTGGATCTGAAGACGCAGAACGGATAGCCCAGCCGAGACATAGCTGGCCCGAGATCCAAAAGAGGAATTATAGTCTGATGAAATCTAAAACTGCTATAGACGTTAGAGGCAAGGAGGCAATCAAAGTTGCTTTGCCGAAATCGTGCGATAGTGAGAAATCGCAAAATGGTATTATTGATCGGCACGATTTTTATGTGCCGACGTCGGCGAACACGATCGAGAACTACGCGCGGCAGTCACGGAACGTGAAGAGCACGTCACGAAACGAGAGCAACATGAAAATAAAAGACAACAGTAACAAAACAAAGGCCAGAGAGCTGAGAAACAACATGATTGAGACACGGCAAAAAATTGCCACGGAGCGTAGCGCGATCGAAAAACAGTACGCGGATTTAGTTAGCAAGAAGTTGATACCGGACGTTAATAAGAACACTAAAAGGCAAGTGCATATATTCATACCAGAGATACAGAAAAAGAACAATTCAACAACAACGAGCAGAACTGAAAGTCTTTTGTCACAAAAATCATCACTTTTCAAATAAAGCATTTTAAAATAATTAATCAGATGGCGCTGCTATCACAGTAAACATTAGCTCCGTATGTTTTTGCTTTTTAAAAAAAATATACATCGTCAAGACCAATTACAACTAGTCAAAATTATAGAAAGTAGTCTAAATTCTTAGTGACAGTGTTATCTAAGCCTTGGACTTATTTAAAATTAACTTTTAACGAAGTGACAAGTCTCAATATTATATGCATAAAAACTCAAACTAATTAGTGATTGAAACCTGTGAAAGTAATTTATATTTATGTGTGGACCCATTTTACTGTAATTGTGTTAAAAACTGACAAAAAATAAACCTGATCAATAAAATAAAAAGGAATTTTACAATTAAAACTTGGTATGTACTTTTATTACTTAAGTGACGGTAGTAAGAAGTGTTAAAAGTGAAAGTATTAACGTTAAACAATTCAAAAACATTGTAATCAATATAGACACACAAATTCGACAAGTTATTCTATAAGCTTGTTGGAACATTCCGCAAGTACACCATTGATTGGAATACATGGCATTGTCGTCCGTGGTTCAAGCCTCGGCACAGCTCATTTAATTTTTTTCATTGTTCTTCAAAATATTGCGTGTTCTTGATGAACGATTGTGCCTAAAGACTAACAATAACATTCATCGTTCATAATAACAAACATATTATTATGTCTCAGTCAAAAATAAAACTCGGGTGTTGCGATCGACTGACGTCTTCACCTAATATTCTAAGCTGTCAGTATTGCAAGCTCAAGTACCATTTATCATGTGTGAATATTAACAAAAATATAAAGGATATCTCTGAAGATTTCAAAACAAAATGGATGTGCCCGGGCTGCTCTAGCAGACTGCCCAAATCAGACAATACAAATACACCAATAAGATCTAATGCACACCAACAAGGAAATGAATGTCTGTTAAATGTAAATACGAGACGGGGTGGGCAAATGGTAGTACCACATTCCTCGTCCGAGGTAGCAATTGACAGCATTCGTGAAATAGTTAGAGAGGAACTAAGCAACATTTTGGATAGTTTTAAAAGAAACATTATTGAACAGTTTGAGCTAAAAACCAATGAATTACTTGATAGTTTTGGTCGGATCTCGGATTCATTGACTATAATTCAAAACCAACAGGAGGCTATAAAATTTGATGTGAATTCTAATACTTCAAGAATTAATGACTTAGAATCTGAAAATACAACCCTGAGGAATACAGTATTGGATCTTAATTCCAGAATTACGCGTATTGAACAGCATTCAAGGGCTAGTAATTTAGAATTACAAAACATACCCGAACATAAGACAGAAAACCTATTTACAGTTGTAAAGCAAATTGCTAACACTACAAACTGTAAATTGAATGAATCGGATATTCATCTATGTACAAGAGTTGCTAAACTAAACAAAAATAGCCGGCGCCCTAGGTCGGTCATCTTAAAGTTTGCATCACCAAGAATACGAGACAGCTTTTTCGCAGCCTCAATTGCCTTCAATAAAAAAGCAAATAATTTCAGTGAAAAATTGAACACAGGGCACATTGGCATAGGTGGTGATAGAAATCCAATCTTTGTAGTGGAGCATCTCTCACCTACGCAAAAAGCTATTCACGCAGCTGCACGTAACAGGGCTAAAGAACTGAATTATAAATTTGTGTGGGTTAAAGACGGAAGAGTTTTCATGCGTAAGTCAGAAACATCTGAATATATATTAATCAAGAGTATTGAGGATTTGTCCCAGCTGAACTGATCATTGTTTTAATTTCTAACTGTAGTGTATTGTTATATCATAGTTTTCAGTAAATAATTGCATAGTCATACGACTTCATCGATTTTTATATAATAATTTACTTTTATTTGTTTTGATATTGTTAATTTATTAATTACTGTAATTACATACATCTTTTATTTTATCTAATAATTTATAATTTTTTACTGTTCTATTGTGCATCTGTATGTCATCTGAAAACTTTAAAATCTATTATCAAAATGTGCGAGGACTAAATACTAGTGCGGCAGAGGTGCGTCAACAAATCTTAATTAATAATTACGACATTTATATATTTACGGAAACTTGGCTCAGTAGTGGATGTTTTGATTCTGAGATATTTGATATTGGCTATGTCGTGTACAGGCGAGATCGCGGGACTTGCTCTATGTCCAACTCAAAAAGAGGGGGTGGTGTTTTGATAGCGGTGTCCAATCGACTGAGTTCCATGCGAATTTCGGAATGGGAAAGTGACTGTGAGGATCTCTGGGTCTCAGTTACTTGTAGTTCACCGGGGAATAAACCCATTACTATTAAGCTATGTACCGTTTACTTACCACCACCAGTTAATGATATAACATTGGAGATATTTGTTGACAAATGCAATAGAATTTTAGAATCATCTACTGATTGGGATTATACTATAATTGCCGGTGACTTCAACATGAGCGGTATAGGTTGGCACCCAAAATACAGCGATAGTAATGTTCTCTACGCAGTTCCTGCAGATTACAGTGAACGTGAGCTTTTATGTAAGTTTGTAGACTTTTTAACACTTAACGACCTTAATCAATACAATTGCGTTACCAACTATCAAAATAAAACATTAGATTTGCTATTATGCAACGACGAAATTCTGAATGTCTCTGAATGTTTAAGTCCTGTAAGAAATATTGACAAGTATCACCCGGCTCTGAAAATAGAAGTTAATATTAAAATAAGAGAAGTAAGTCCAAACATACACATACCTAGTAGGTGTAATTTCTATAAAGGTGATTATAACGCCATTAACACGTACCTTAAATCCATATCCTGGTGGGATGAATTTGGCTCCTGCAACTGTATTAATGAAATGGTGACAAAATTTTATAATATATTGCGTGACGCCATCAGATCTCACATTCCTATGACAAAAATTCGCAATGGTTCATATCCTATTTGGTTTTCACCTCACCTAATACATCTACTAAAACAAAAAAATAAATACCATAGAAAATTTAAGAAATATAAAAATCCACTGGATCAAATAGAATACGATTATTTGAGAGACGATTGTAATAAATTAATAAAAAAATGCTATAATATATATATAAATAATATTGAAGATGAATTGAAAAATAATCCAAAAAAATTCTGGTCACACATAAAAAGTTTGCGTAAAAATAGCTCATCATATCCAAATACCATGACCCTAAATAATAACACATCTTCTGATGCAAATCAGATTTCAGACATGTTTGCCAATCATTTTTCCACCGTGTATGAATGGGATGACGATCACAGTGACAAATCATTGGATGCTTCTGCAATGACAGTCCACACACATGACACAATAAGTAATATTCTACTGACGCCTCAGGAAGTTATTAAAAAACTTAAGAAGCTTGACTTTAAAAAGGGAGCAGGACCAGACAATATACACCCACTCTTTCTAGTGAGGTGTGCTCACACAGTGGCTCTCCCGCTGAGTATCATTTTCAATCAATCGTTGCAAACCGGGATTTTTCCCAGTGAATGGAAGGCAGCTAATATAGTACCAATATACAAGAATGGAAGGAAAGATGTGATATCTAATTACCGACCAATATCACTTCTGTCGGCTATGTCTAAATTATTCGAAACAATGGTTCATTCTGTTTTGTATTCTCACATACAAAAGTACATAATATTCAACCAGCATGGATTTATGGCAAGAAGATCAGTCAACACTAATCTTACACTATATATCTCAGAGCTTAAGGAAGCAGTTGATCAAAATGTTCAGGTAGATGTAGTTTACACCGATTTTGCAAAAGCCTTCGATAAAGTAAATCATAGAATTTTGGCTAAAAAATTGGATATGTTTGGAATAACTGGCAGCCTACTCAGGTGGTGTATATCTTACCTTCACAGTCGTTACTCAAGAGTCGTGTTCAATGGTGTGCAGTCTTACTCTTTTGCGGCAACTTCAGGAATACCCCAAGGCTCTATATTGGGACCTTTATTTTTCAATGTTTTTATAAATGACATCACAGATAATATTAAGCACAGTACAGGTTATCTTTTTGCTGATGACTTTAAATTAGTGAAGACGGTTGCAAATAGCTTGGACATGGAAAAATTTCAGGATGATATTGTTAGCCTTACTAAGTGGTGTAATGATAATAAAATGTATCTCAATATTTCAAAATGTTACCATATTAAATTTACCAGAAAACACAGACCTTTCAAATCAGGTTATTTTATAAACGGTACCAAACTACAAGAAGTCACCACATTACAAGATCTTGGTGTTCTCATGGATGGCCAACTAAGATTTTCTGATCACATCGATAAAATTGTGGCCGAAGCTAACAAGTCACTGGGTTTTATCTTAAGGAACTCAAAAAGTTTTAAAAAACCAACCACTATTATTCTGCTTTATAACAGCTATGTGAGGAGTAGGTTGGAATATTGCAGCATGGTTTGGTCTCCTACCTACAAAGTACACATAAACAGAATAGAAAGAGTACAAAAAAAATTTGTTCGTAGTTTGTCATATCGTTTCAAAACACCAAGCAATATTAAAACTTACAAAGACAGAACTAATCATTTTCTCCTTGAACAACTGTCCTTGCGTAGATCTTACCTTGACATGTCTTTTCTGTACAAGTTGGTAAATGGTCTCATAGATTGTCCTCCCCTACTAAATAAAATTAATTTTAATGTACCCACAAGAATACCACGTCATCCTTGCAACTTATTCAAAAGTAAAGTTTGCAGAACTAATTTGGGTCGTGTTTCACCTGTCGTCCGTTTGTCGCGCCTGTACAATGATTTTGCAGAGGAAAAACCTGAAATTGATATTCTTTTTGACAATCACTCCGAGTTCATAACTAAGCTCAAAAGTTGACGTTCCTTGTCACATATGTTTTATTGTATTATTGTTAGGAGCATTCAAGTTTAAATTTAATTTATTAATTAATTTTATTGACATTGTAATAGTAGTGACATAATCTTGTAACTTAAAGCATGCTGTGGTTACCTATAATTATGAGAACAGTTAGTTTAAGAACATTAGAATTGTATAGAATGATAACAATTTTTCTATTGCTGTATCTTATGTTGGTAATCCTTAAAAATAAATAAATAAATAAATAAATAAATAAAAAGTGTATTTCTTAATATTATTTTATATTCAATACTATAAAACTTATATTTTAAAAAATAATCCCTGTCGGACAATTCTAAATGTTTTAAGTATTTGTCCTTGCTGTTTATGCATTTAGGAACATTGTTGGATTCCATTGAGCCGGGTAGTTAATTTATATACGGGCTATGAACGAAATATAAACTGAAAACGTTTGTTTACTTTATTTTCGCTAATTAAAATATCACTACATGATCAACGGATGAAGTTAAAGTTCAATCTATGTATAATTAAATTAGACCAAGACGTATAGAATAGAAATATTAATCAAATTCATATTTCGTTATTTAGATAGCTATTTCGCTATTGTATTTTGTAATAATATTTTACATTCACATATCCAAAGTTCCAACATTTTTTAATATAATACTGAGCCACTTTTAAAGGGTTATTTTAATAATAAAAAATGATTGCAACTCAAGTTAAATTAAACGTAGATATATTTTTATTATAATTATAAAATACAATGATAATATGAGGTATATTATCATTGTATTTTATAATTATGACATGACTGTTTATACCAGGGTAGTCAGAGGACTACCCTGATAAAATGTAGTTAGTTGACAATGCCTCTGCATTGTCAACTAACTACATCGTGTTAAACGCAACACTTGACATACACGCATTTCTTCAAGCCATCTCGAAAAAAATACTTGAAAATAAACCAAATTAATCCATTAAGACATTAATTTGGTCTGTATTATAGTTTTTTTTATAATTATTAACGCATTCATTATTGATACACTCATTTTATCATGCGTCAAATTCCGACTTGTGACCTTTCGGTGTAGTCTAGCGAGTGAACCATTATACCATAAGACTTAGATATATTTAATATTAATTTAACTCACCCCAAATCCAATAGTAGCCACATCTCTGGCTTGAAACCGCGAACGGAGCGGCGGGTCGAGCGGCTGTCCATTGTACCGAGGCACTGGCAAGCCTAGAGCTATCACTCGGAAGTTCTCATCGACTCTAACCAGCCGCCACTTCGACAACTCTTCTAGTCCGTGTTCCTAATACAGAGCAACAATCAAATGTTATTATTAAGTATTTAAGCCGCCAAACAGATTGCTTTATAAACTGTGTTTTAATTGTAGAGTGAGATTATTATTACAGTAGGCATAGTCTTCAACTGAGTATTCCGGAATGGCAACGAGTGGTATCACGGTTATTAGCTTATTTGCAATTCCACTTATAAAAAAATAATCATGCTATATTTTTAACAGACTACCTAAGAAAGGTACGTTTGAATATCAAATCAAATATTACATTAAAAGGCTATAAATTAAAGGGTCCAAAAGCCAACTTTAATACCTCGGATCTTATATGCATATCAGTCAAATCAAATAATAACAAAACTAAAATTCTAATTGAAAAATGTTACCTCCAGCAACTTGTCGTATCTGGCTGCAGGAACTAAAAACCTGCCATCTTCTAAATGCATTTCTCTATTCTCCAATAAATTATTTAACACTGGCAACACATTCCGTTCCGCCTTCTCTATGCCCTCAATAATTAGTACTCGACCTTTGATAGCTGCGCGAACTGCACTCTATTGACAAATAATGAAACAATTTTAATTCCTGTTACACTAAATGTGTGTAACTGGGAATATGTTTGCATCTACACTTCTCCAATCCCCTGTCCAATTCAAATGACGGCCTATGCTGAGATTTGAATCCCTAGCGGTACCATTAGACTAAAGTTGTATCAATCAGACAGGAATTGACATTCAGCCACTTCATAAATCCATCCATGGGTTTGGAGTGCCATATGCACTATGTCCTTCTAAATCTCATGTACAATGTACAAAACTCAAAATCTTGTACAATACTTTTTCCTCCATTCAATCTGAGAGACACAGTCAAGACCACTAAAGTAACTGATCAAACTTCTCCCTACTACTCCAGTAAGTAAATTAAATAAATATATTAATACCTGATCAAAATATTTAGCAGTAGCACTCTGTATCTCTCTCCTCTGCTTCAGATCTGCTTCCGTAGTGTCCCGCGATAGAGCCACATACTCCAGTTCTCGTTGTGTGAGCTCCAAATATTGTAAAGCCACTTTTCGTCTACCACAAAATTATAAAATCCATTATTTAATTTATAAGTACATATACAATAAGTAGGTACAGTAAATTAAGATGATGTAACAGACTCAATAAGGGTATCAGAAAAAATCATTAATAATTTCTCAATTTACACAACAACATCATCCAGTCCAAGCTTATGTTTGGATACTAGGCAATTGTTATAAATACATAGATATTTTTTATTTTATAAATATATGCATAATTTACATAGAATGTTTTCTAGCCCAGATTAGTCACACTCATGAAAACAAATGTTTGTACTGTTTGAGGAATCAAAAAAGTGACCATCAGCAATAAAGTGCTGCTTTTTTATTTTTCTTTTTGTTTAACAACATTCTTATCTATAAATATACCATCATAATAAACTATCATGCAGGCATATGCCTGCAGTTTACATATATAGTTAACACACTAACTACTACACTCTTTTAAGAACTTACTATTGTATTATGATTCTATGTGGTGTGATTCTCACATTTTAAATTTATAAACACCAATATGTTTCAAATCTGAAAGGGCCCGTTTGAAAAATACAAAACTGCTTAAGTTACAGAAATAAAATTATAGTAGTATACATCTATTTCTGTAACTTTAGCAGTTTTGTATCAGAAAAGATGAGTGTGTCAGTGAAGATCACAACTTACTGTTAATTGGAATAGACAATATATTAATTCTTTTTGTAGGATATTACCTTCCCGGTCCAGGTCTACCAAGCAAGAACATGTCTTGACCCAGCAAATCCTTTTGCATCATCCATCGTAAATTTCTAAGAGTACTCTGTGATAGTGCTTTCAATTCTGAATTGTCCAAGGTCACTGTAAATATAAAAGACAATTTAAATATATATATGTAATAAATGTCTGAACAACATTCATTTTCATTTATGTATATACAGAACTACTGTATCAGTAGACATTATTATTAGGAAAACCTGATTTGAATGCTGTGCCAGTCTCAAATAATAGTCAATATTAGACAAAATGTTCAATTCAATCTCCAATTTTATATATTTATATGAAAATAATCCACCCGTAAGGTCTATACAAAAAAAATCATTCCAGTTTATAGTTATTACATACCCGTAGATGAAGAAAGTATGCCTTAAAACTACGTTTTAAATCAATTACATAAAATTTTGAGGTTAGGAAAACAAACTTCAAATGATGAACTTACTATACTTTCTAGGAACATATTCCACCTTTTCCGCGGGTTTAATATCCTTGGTAACATCTCCTATAGTCACCTTCTCGTCACTGGAATAAGCCCTTACCGAATTGGCGCTTATTATTGCTTTTCTACCATTCACTATTCGTATCAAAACATCGATTCGTCGGATTGTCACTGCCGGATTATACATTATAATTTACATGAAATAATTTATTAAATTCACATATAAGTTACGTTAGACCTTAACTATAAGTTATTTTAATATTCGCAATTCATAACATTATTGAATACGACTGTATAATATAATAATTGATAAATAATCCGCAAGTCCAAAGTCTATTTCTATCACGACAAGAACACAAGATAGGTGTCAAGGTGACGTTTGGACTTAGGGACTCAGCTGTTTGTTTCAGACACGTTCTTGTGTTTATTTATTTTTGTTGGCTACGTTCTTACTTTTTAATATTGTAATTTCACATCATATAGAGCTACATGCAACTATATATTTTTCAATTGTTTAAGTAACGTAGTATATATTTAAGTATGTAATGGTTTATAACATTTTATGCAGACATTTAGATGCATCAACTAGTCTATGCCTAAAATAATAATTCATAAATGTTACGTACATTAGTGAATTCACAATGACATTATTTATTTAATTTTAAGCAATTAATGCATTATATTATGACAAACAGTTTTTATCTTAATATAAATTTACTAATAATACCTACATACTTTATCTTAGTCTGAGGTTCATGAACAAGCCAATAATCAACATTATCGGTACTAGATATTCATTGAATTGTCGATCTTTGACTGTTACACTCACTTCAATTACCCAGACAAGATTACGATAAGGATACAATAGTATCGGATTGCACCTAAGTAATAGTGTATCGTACAATACGTAGATACGTAGGTCACCTCAGCAACTACAAACATCGTTTTGTATTAAAGATTACGATAAATCTAATAAAATTTGAATTATAGACCGTTTCGTATCGTTCATTACTTTTAATTTTATTATAAGCAGCAATTGTTTTAGTTTTTATATGAGATAAATAAAGATTATTGTTATTAAATACTATCCTATCTTTTAAGTTGGACTAAATTACACACAGCGATTCAAACTTCATAATATTTGGTTAAAGAATAACAATTACAATAGCGTCACGGCTGTTAATGGTTTCATATCGGAGTTTCCTTCACCGGAGAGTCAATTAAAACAAAAAGGAGCGGTAGTCAGGTTAGTGAACCATGGACTAATATTTTAATGTGACTTTAAATAAATATATATTCTTGGAAATTTTGCATTATGATAGACCCACATTAACAATTACTATCCGATTTTATAAAATATGTATTTACTTTTTAATATTTTTGTTTTACAACTTAATCACAAAACAAATAGAGAGGCATAAGTAAAACATAGGCGATGTAAAAGTATTTAAGTTTTATTAAAATGCAGTATTATATTTCTAACATTTATTGCGTTATATTTATTTTACGGCATTAATACAAAATACATACTATTATCTATTAAAAATAAACAAAACTTAAAACAAAAATAATTAAACATTCATCAATAACAAATACGGTTCCACTGAATCATAAACTATTTTAAAGCGTATAAATAGATTCATTTGACTAAATATAATTACAATATCGTAGAAACCGGATATAACGTCGTCGAATACCACGGATCGATTACTCTTTGTTGGCGTAGATTAAGCGAGACATATATTGCCTTTACCGCAATCCCGTACACCACCAAAGAGCAGGATATTGTTAACCACATCCGGACAAAAAACAATCTGACATTGACTCGAGTCCCAACGGGAGTTTCGAGGCATTTGTGGTCCGAGTCTCCAAAAATATGCTGCCCAACCTCATGAAAACAATTTGCCCCAGGGAATGGTATACCGGCGCTACTGTGGCAAACTACCATCGACAGAGTCGTGACACAAATTTAAATTTATATTTCATTGCATATTTTACTATTGATCTACATATATTAATTTCTATATATATTATGTATCTCTTAATATGAATCTATATTATAGTCATACATACAGATTATAGTGACTATTCGGATATAGCTACCATATGTCCTTTTAGTCATTATATCCGGTTAATAGCATATTTCGTAATACAAATATAATTAAAAATTATTGTGCATCCTATATAACATTCCACAATATACTATAAACAAATTAATTTATATCTGCACAGGCTATAATAAATGTAATTAAACTATAAGTACTCTATATTTATTAGGATGTAAAACTTTTCAATCATTTTATTATACAAATTTTATTATAAAATTAGTACACGGAAGTACTAAAATACATCGAGTGACACAATTCATTCGAATCCTATTTACTATTCGACTATTTAAGTTAAAATATCTCTTGAATGTCTGTTAAAGTTGTTCCACTTAACATAAGTACGGTCGCTGAGTACTCTGTGTGTGTCTGTCTGTTGTAAATACTGACACGGGTGCTGCTTATGAGGACTGGTCAGTTCGCGTTACGGCCACTAATAAATGATTTATTCTCAGAAGGAAACTTTATTTCCTTCTGAACAAAAGACAATAGCATATACTGGTGGTCACATTATCCTCTCTAACTGAATTGATATACCTTTAAAAATGAATCTGTATTTGATACACCTTTTGCGCTATCCATAAAGTACCTCATCCCTTCCCCCTGGTCATATTTTAATAGTTAAAATATCCTGTTTTAATACCAAAATAGAAAAGTGATGTCAGAAACTACACTAAGGGGGTTTGAAGTGTTCTAGTTTTCATGATTTGTAAGCAAATGGAATAACAAATAAGGTAATGCCTCGCCAGACAATTTGGTAATAATAACCTACACACAACAATATAAACGTACACAGAATGTATCCACGTATATTAAAAATAATAATATCCCTGGACAATTCACACAACGCCATCTAGTAGTAATCTAAGCAGAGTTTTTGTTATACCCATAACAGAAACTGATATACTTAGTATTTTTTAATACATACAAACACCCTGACCGATACAAGTACTAGTCATGAATACCAATGTCTGAATTGTGTGAGGAATCGAACCCGCAACTTCGGAAATAAAGCGATGTGCTATACCGCTAGACCACCGAGGCCGTCAATATTAAATAAGACTATCAGCACAGACGTGACATCCGCCTTGTCCAAGTGGACTAATCTAGAAACATGTACCTTTCGAATGGACAAAACATTTTTTTATATAATTGGGTGGGATAAAACTGCACACCTGATTCAAGTTGCAACCGTTTTCTATGTACATAAATAGCACTATAGACATCACGTCATTGTGGACTAAAGTATTATGTAATTCAACTGCATTAATTAAGTTTCCTGGCGCCTGAAATAGATGAGATTGACGTATTGATCGTAGACGACATATTACAAAGTCTACCTTGGTGAAATGTGTAGTCGCGAGATCCCTCCACATACATACTAACTGTCATACACCCTCTTTACAATAATATTAACTACCACCAAAGCTACTACGGTTCAAGAACAAAACAACCGTATATTTATATACCTAAACGTAGCGCGCGATAATTAAAACATTGAATATATATAAACTTGGAAATAGACATTTAATTTGAGGCCAATTCTATCATCATCATCATCATCGCAGCCCGGAAGACGTCCACTGCTGGACATAGGCCTCCCCCAAAGATCTCCGCGACGATCGGTCCTGCGCTGCTCGCATCCAATGCCTTCCAGCGACCTTGACCAGATCGTCGGTCCACCTTGCTGGAGGCCAATTCTAAGAAAATTAGTATTTTTCTAGTATTATAATAAAAAAATCTCATCTTCCACATTGTGTACAGTGGAATACGTATTTACCTCCACTGCATTACACAGTTATACAAAATATTTTTTTTATCTTGTTAGCAAAATTAGGGGTAGTTTCAATAATGATATACTCTTCCGCCGAATAAATTATGTAGCAAAAAACTTTAAATTTTGAGATTTAAATACAGTAATAATCGATTCACTCCATATACCTATTAGGTCACATTTTTCCGTACTCTAAACAAATTCATTCGATATAATATAAACGAAATGCCGCCTATTTACTCATGTCAATGAGCAAACATTAAGAAATATTAATTTTCTTCATCCGTATTTGCCTCCACATGTTCAATTTTAACACTTACAAAATCAGTGGGTTCTAACTCCTCATTGTCAATTGGTTCTTGTTTTATTACCTTATTTTTTACAAAATCATTGCTTTCATCACCGTCTTTGGATGTATCTTCATCTTTACCATCATCAGATTCTTCATCACCGTCTTCTTCGTCGTCGCCTTCATCATCATTCGCGTTCTCCTTGGGACTTTCTTCAGGTAAGTCCAGTTTTTTAAATGTAACAAAATTAGCCAAAAAGACATTTTCTTTCTTGGGAGGTCCAAAGATACTGTTCATGACCTCTTCCTCTAGACCTAGTTCGCATTCCCTCGGGTCCATTTTCCTGTAGAAGTCCTTTATATTCACTACTGAATCCTTGATCCCGTGGCGTTTTCGAAGGTGCTTTACGATAGTTCTTCTCACAGCATACGACTTGGGGCAAACTTTACACTGTGAAAATATTACATAAGAATTAATAAACAGGAAAAATCGAAATCACTTTTTCCACTATATATTGTATTTATAATCACGCTGACAAGCAGCAGTAGTTTCAGCTCTATTTGAGTCAATATAGGGAAAGAAGCACATACACAGATGGTATGTCCATGTAGGTCCTATTGAAAAGTGATATATCAGCAGTCAAGCACTGAGATGTCACTACAATTGTTAAATACTTATTCTTCAAATGCTTCGACACGCCTTTTTTCTTGATGTGTATTGGTTCCCAAGATCCCTCCACATACACACAAATTGTCATACTCCTTTGCAATATTATTACTACTACTACCACCAAAGCTGAAAATGTTTACTAACAGCTTTATATATACGATATTATGATAAATTCCGGTTATTTTTTTGGACAATTAACACAGCGCCATCTAGTCCCAAGTTAAGCTAGCTAAAACTTGTGTTATGGGCACTAGATAGCTGACACAAATACATAGATATTATTTCGTAAATACATACATATTATACATAGAAAACACCCAAACCGATACAAACAATGATACTCATGAATACAAATGTTTGTACCGTGCATAGAATCGAACCCCCGACCACCAAGTAAGGCGGTGTGCTACACCACTAGACCACTGAGGCCGTCTAACTCCCTCTCGTTTATGTTGTAGACTCACCCTGTATGTATTGATAGAGCTGTGTGTGAGAACATGATGACGTAGGCCGGCGGTGCTGCTGAGCGACTTGTTGCATATGGGGCAGGAGAAGTGCGACCTCGTGTGGGTCGTCCGTAAGTGTCGCAGCATGTACCGTTCGTCTTGGTACGTTTTATCTGATGGGCAATAATTGTACATTACTGTGGTACAAGGTGGGATTGTAAGAAGAGGGACTATTGATTGTATTGCTAGCAATATCAGCAGGACTACATTATACTGTAATCTCAATATATGTATTACTTAGTAAGTCAATAATTAAATAGAATAAATTGATAATGCCAGAGGTAGCCAGTGATGTACGCCAATTAGCTTGCTTCTTAAGCTGTGTTTCGGTTGTAAGGCAGTTTGTTTCCCATTCCAATTATGGTACATAAAAAAGTAAATATACTCAAGAATAAAAAAGATATGGAAAGGCGCAATCCAATATGATTACATCGGAATTGGTTTCTAAATTACTTCTTCTACGGCTTTCAAGGGTTTTTCATTACGATTAATTCCTAGTAAATTATGATAGGATGTCATTTCCATCTATAAGGATAGGAAGGTTCCCGGACATAAATTATGCAACTATGTACTTGTAAATCTTAATTTTAATGCACTCACCGCATAAAGGACATTTAACAGATCCTTTTCTGGCCTGATGGATTTTCATATGTTCACGTAGCGAGCACGCGCTTGTAAACATTTTCGAACATATTGGACATGTTTCCAAATCTAAAAAAGGAAAACATCTTTACTAGTTTTAACTACACTTAGGTCGAAATGTACATTGTTTAAAAAAAAATTAAAAATATAACTTTAATAATTTAAGTTCAAAAGATGATTTTTCAATATATGTTTTTTTTTGTATTGACATTCTATTATTTAAGCGTGTGAAAAAAATGTTGTAAAATGTAATTTAAACTTAACACATTAAGTCGATTTCCCCAATATTTATTTCAGTTAATGCATTTAATTATTAAGCATATCACACATATCATGTGAATTATTTATTAATGTAACCTACATCATTAATTATGTAATTAATGATGTAGGTAACATACTGATGTAGGTATTTATTACCTACTCAGTTGTTAGCTATAGTTAATTGATAAAAACTCACTCTCTCCAGTGTGTTTTCTAATATGATAGGTGAGCTTTGATTTCTGCACAAATGTCTGACCACAATACAGGCAAGCATATGATGTATCTTTTGAATGAGTTCTGTAACAGAAAATATTATATATAACTATTATTTTTAAAATCCAAGTAAATTAATTTTTAATATCAATCTGTGGAAACAATCCACATATACATTTTTGCTTCTTTTGCAAAAAAAATATATGTTGTTTGTTCCATAGTCCCACCTCTCAAGACATCTTGATATTAGAAAGGACTGGTAACAATATTATTATATTGTCATTATATTATTATACAGGCAGATATTGACATAATCCAATATATAAAATAATGTTGTCGCAGTGTTTGTTACCTACATCCACCGTAACAGCTTTACTGACTTTTATGAAATTTTTGTGATATCGGGTAAGTCTCAGAAAATCTATTTTTATACCCCTCAATTATAAGAGTAACCCATCCCTCATTTTTTTGACAAAAAATGTATTTATTTTAAACTCCAAATTATCACTCTTCTACCATCCCCTACTTTTATTTTACAACTCCTATTTTTAATAGCGATATTAGTACTTCAATGTGTATGGCAAAATAACATTTGCTGGGTCGGCTAGTATACATATATTGTTTATGTCATTCCAGAGGGTTAAGATGTTTCACTACCACATCTTATTCTAGATATAATGTATATTACGGTACCTGGCGTGAGAGGTGCAGGCGCCCTTGTCCGCGAAGGTGCGTGGACACTCCGGGCAGGCGTAGGGCCGCTCGCCCGTATGACGACGTTCATGCCGCAGCATGTTGGATCGCTGCACGAACCGCATCGGACAGTACGAGCATGCGTGCCGAGGGCCCTCGTGGATTTGTACGTGTTCGCGGAATGAGTCCTTCTTCTACAAAACACAAATATATATATGACGCACTTTACCCGGCAAACTTTTTTTTTCGCATTATCGAATGCTGTTGGCCACAGCTGGCCTTTACAGCTTCACAGGACGATAGGGGGCAAATGCAGATGACACTCCAAACCCGCGGAAGGCTTTATGGAGCGGCTGAAGGCCAAATCCCGCCTGACGGATACGACTTTAATCTGAGGGCACCGCTAGGGGTCGATGGGCTCAGGCTGTCGTAATTTCGATCCCCGATTAAATTGGGATCGATCAGAGAAGAAACCGCCGATCTGTCATCACTAGGCATCCAAGCTCCATTCAAAGCCTGACGATACCTCGTTTAAAAGCGAAGACTGTGTCGCAATATATAAAATATTTATATTACTAATATTATAAACGTGGAAGTTTGTGAGTGTGGATGGATGGAAGTTTGAAACTCTTTCACGCAAAAACTACTGAGTGGATTTTAATGAAAATTATTTTTACTGATTTTAACTACATACACGGGTAATCTAAATATATATAACTCAAAGGTGACTGACTTAGTGATCTATCAACGCGCAGCCCAAACCACTGGACGGATCGGGCTGAAATTTGACATGCAGGTAGATGTTATGACGTAGGACAAGGGGATAAAATAGGGGATGAAAGTTTGTATGAAACTTTGTCAATTTTAAACAGATCGGGCTGAGACTTTCTTTGCATAAAGTTACTATGACGTAGGCATCCCCTAAGAAAGGATTTTGATAAATTCCACCCCTAAGGCGATAAATTAACGAGAGCGAAGCCGCGGGCAAAAGCTAATAAGTTATAAATATCATGGGGATTAAACTGCGGGGACAGTTTTTTATATAATTGTAACGACAAATGCCTCATTTGTCGTTACAATTATATAAAAAACCATACTGAAAGTACGTGAAGAATACAACAAAAAAAAGAATATTTAATTATCTATGGTAGATATTAACAATAAGTAATAAACTCACCATAAAAACTTTGCCGCAGTAGTCACAAGTAAATGTCTGTTTGTTAGGTGCATGGTCCTGTTTGTGCATATACAGCGAAGACTTGTATTGGAACGACTTGCCGCATTCTGAACATTCAAATGGATGTCGACCAGGATGTCGGAGTAAGTAATGAAGTTTTCTGAAAAAAAAAATCATTGTCTTTATATTTTACTAGCTGTACCCGCGACTTCGTCCACGTGGAATTTAACTTTCATTTTCTAAAATAAAAGTAGCCTAAGTTACTCCTTATTACATCAGCTACCTGCCAATAAAAGTCCCGTCAAAATCGGTCCAGCCATTTAGGAGATTACCCGGAACAAACCGTCTGTCGGTCTAACAGACGGACAGACAAAAATTATAAAAAGTGTTTTTTTTTTTGTATATGTACCGTATTTATATTCATATTCATGTAGTAAAAGACGGTTATTTCAATATTAAAAAACAGACACTCCAATTTTATTTATATGTATAGATGAGGACATGTAAATTTCATAGTGTTGATATAATATGCTATATAATGCATGCCGTGGCGTTGTGGCTTATGGGCTGTGTTATGTACTAAAGTGGGTACTTTGTAAAAAAGAGTCAATAGATGTCATTCTGGCCAGTGTGATGTGTGCTTCGAAAAATACGTGTTTTAGTGAGTATATAATAGTGGCGACGAGAGAAAATAGTGGAAAAGTGCAATAAAGTGATTATTATCTTACTAATTACATAAATAACAATAATGGGCATAAAATTTAACGAGTTTGATATAGCACATGGGTGTTGGCAAAATTATATAGAAAGGTTATGTTTTTGCTTCCAAGCTAGTGAAATTGAAGAAGATACAAAGAAAAAAGCGAATTTATTGGCGGTCTGTGGCCCTGAATTATATGATTTAATCATTTCTTTGATATCTCCAAGTAAAATAAGTGATGTGACTTTCTCTTTTATTGTGGGCATTTTGAATAATCATTTCCATCCGAAACCTAATGAAATTGTAGAATCATATAAATTTCACACAAGAAATCAAGAGGAAGGTGAAATGATAAAAAATTATATTGCTCAATTACGTAAATTAAGTATAGGTTGTAATTTCACTGATTTAGATCGTACTCTGAGAGATAGATTGGTGTGTGGAATATTAGATAAAGATATTCGGAGGAAACTGCTTCAACAAAGGCAATTAACATTTGAACAAGCTTGTGACATAGTATTATCACAGGAAACTGCAAATTTTGATGCAAATATTATCACACCATGTAGTACAAATACTCCAGTTCTTGATACAATAGTGCCAATGGATATTAACAAAGTACGGGTGAGTCAGAGAATGTCTTCTCAAAGCACAAATAAGAATAATGAGAATATGTCAACCTGTTTTCGTTGTGGGAAACCACATAGGGGTGAATGTAGGTTCCGCTGGACTAAATGCCATCATTGTGGGAAAATTGGTCATATAGAGGCAGCCTGTTTATTGAAGTCCAGCCAAGGTAAGAAGTATAATTCAGAATGTAATGGGCTATATGAAGTGGGAATCAACAGCATTAGACAAGACAAAGTGGATCCTTTTGTGATTAGAGTATTCCTTAATAGAATGGAATTACTGATGGAAGTAGATTCAGGTTGCCCATATACAATTATAAATGAGATAACAGCCAAACAAATATGGAAGGGTAAATTACCTAAACTAGAATTAACAGATATTGCATTAAAATCTTACACAGAAGGTAAATTAGTATTATTAGGTCAGACGAAAGTCCATGTAAAATATAATCAAATAAGTAAAATTATGAATATATTAATTACAAAAGGTAGTGGTTCAAGCCTAATTGGCAGGAATTGGTTTGCACAATTGGGTATAAGTATAGAAGGATTAAATAATGTTAAATCAATGGATTTTAATAAGGGACAGATAACACAATTGTTATATAGATACAAACAGATTTTTGAGCCTGGTTTAGGCAAATACACTGGACCAGTAGTGAATATTACACCAAAAGAGGGTTCTGTACCAAAGTTCCTTAAAAGTAGACCCATTCCATTTGCAATTAGAGAAAGAGTATTCAAAGAAATAGACAGACTGGTTCAAGAGGAGGTACTAGAACCTACTACACATTCTGAATGGGCTACTCCGATAGTCCCAGTATTAAAAGCAAATGGTCAGGTACGTTTGTGTGGAGATTATCGGTCCACTGTGAATGCAGCTACTAATACAGATACATACCCTTTACCTACACTTAATGAAGCTTTTGTACAGCTTCAGGGGGGAGTAATATTCTCAAAAATTGATTTGGAGCAAGCATACACACAGGTGGCTGTCGATAATAACACAGCCAGCTTGCTTACAGTAAATACACCTAGAGGATTATACAAAGTAAAGCGGTTGGCCTTCGGTGTTAAAGCTTGTCCTGGTATTTTTCAAAGGCTGATGACTTCATTACTGGCAGGAATAACAGGGATAGCTGTTCTGTTAGACGATATCGTTATTTCTGGTAAGGATATCAACATACACAATGCAAGACTGGAGATGGTGTTACAGAGGTTACAAAAAGCTGGTCTAAGAGTGAATAAAGAAAAATGTTTATTTGCAGTACCTAAGGTCAAGTTTTTAGGTTATTTAATAGATGAGTCAGGAATACATCCATCTAAAGAGAAAATTGATTGCATTGAGAAGACACCTGCACCAAAAAATATAAAGGAATTACAGGCATTTCTAGGACTTCTTAATTTTTATGATAGGTTTTTACCTCATAAGGCAACCATTGCTGAACCATTATATAGATTATTAGAGAAAGGGTCCAAATGGAAATGGAACAAAGAACAACACACTGCTTTTACAAAATTGAAAACAATGTTATCCAATGAAGATACGCTGGTTCACTATGATGGCACTAAGAAATTGATTATGTCGTGTGATGCTTCTCAGTATGGACTTGGTGCTGTTCTAGAACAGGAAATGGACAATGGTATGGTGAAACCAGTTATGTTTGCATCACGTACTATGAATAGCCATGAGCGAAACTATGCTCAGATTGATAAAGAAGCAGCTGCTATTGTTTTTGGTTTGAAGAAATTCCATCAATACATAAGTGGACGGAAAGTGATAATTAAAACAGATCATAGACCACTGTTAGGCATTTTTGGACCAGGAAAACCAATTCCTACAATTATATCACCCAGAATGCTGAGGTGGGCACTTTTATTGAACTCATATGATTACGAGATTCAATATGTAGAAGGCAGGAAGTTAGGAAATGCTGATGCATTAAGCCGGTGGCCAGCAGAAGAATCAACTATAGAAAAGGAATATTCAGGAGTTTTATTAATTGAGGAGACACCAATGGAACTAGAATTTACAGCTAAAGATGTAGCAAAACTTACGAGAAAAGATAAAGTTTTAAGTAAAATATTGTATTGGATAAGAAATGGATGGCCTTCTAAGGTACATACAGACTATAAAATGTTTATGAAAATTAGAGAGGAATTATCTGTACATAGTGACTGTATACTGTGGGGAAATAGAGTGGTGGTGCCAGAGAAAATGCGCTCTTATATTTTGGAAGAATTACACCGGAACCATGATGGTATAGTTATTAGTAAAGCTTTAGCTAGAAGTTATTTTTGGTGGCCATGTATGGATAAACAAATTGAAGAGATGATAAAAAACTGTAATATTTGCTCAGAAAATAGGAACATGCCTGCTCCAGTTACTCATCAGTGGTTGAAACCAGATAAGGCCTGGTCAAGAGTACACGTTGATTACGCTGGACCTTTTCAGGGCAAATCTTTTTTAATACTCATAGATGCATACTCTAAGTGGCCAGAAGTTAAAATAGTAAATGATCTTAGCAGTGCTACATTGATTCGAGAATTAAGATATATTTTTGCTGAACAAGGTTTACCTGATTCTATTGTAAGTGACAATGGTCGAAGTTTCATTTCAGAAGAATTTCAGAAATATCTTAAGAGCTGTGGAATTAGACAGATATTAGTACCTCCTTATCATCCATCATCGAATGGGCAAGCTGAACGTACAGTACAGACAGTAAAAAATAAACTTAGGAAAAGAACATCAGAACCCTGGCATGTCCGATTGCCGAACTTATTATATGGATTGCGAGCCACACCTAACAGTGTTAATGAAAAAACACCTGCGGAACTTCTGAACAACCGTCGGTTCAGAACACAGTTCGATTATTTAAATCCATTATCGTATAAAACAGATAGAAAATTAAGTGCAAATGAAAACAATGAAAAACTTAAAGTACGGTCATTTGAAATTGGTGAGTCTGTGTATGTTCACAATTATAGCAAAGGACCTCGATGGTTACGAGGAATGGTGGAGAAGAGAGTAGGGGTATGTAGATACTTGGTACGATGGAATGGAAGGTTGTTGTTGAGACACATTAACCAGATGCATAAAGGAGGGATAACAATTAATGGAGACAGTTTAAAAAATACTTCAAGGCCTGATGCAACCCAATATAATAGTGATGATGAAAGTCATGTGGTTATACCATCTCCAGAGAAATGGGCTGACATCATTGGAGTATCAGGGCCACAAGACATTGTAATGCCAGGAAGTTCAGGTGAAATATTAAGGACAAAGAGAGCTTTATCATTATCCCCACCTACACTATCTTCCAAGAGAGTAAGATCGCGGGTAGAGTGTAACTTGGAGGACAAAGAGTCTGAGGTTGAAACAGACGAATCATTTGAAGTAGAATAACTCGCCAACCATTCTAACAAAAAATTAGCCTAGTAATTAGTTATTTAAGTGTTAACAAAATGTGCATGGACAATAAAATTTAAAAGTGAATGTAAATTGTGTTGTGAAAATGTTTACCAATCTCGGGGGAAAGATATGTTATGTACTAAAGTGGGTACTTTGTAAAAAAGAGTCAATAGATGTCATTCTGGCCAGTGTGATGTGTGCTTCGAAAAATACGTGTTTTAGTGAGTATATAATAGGCTGTTTTTCAATCTCTCAATGACAAGTGTAATTGTAGTACTGATATTTCAATTCCAGCAATGATATTTCCGAATTAATACGATATTGAAACATTACAGAAAAAAGGTTATTCCTTCTTGCAAGGACGGTAACGCAGTTGCATTTACCCTGGTGTTGCGTTTTCATTGGTGGCAGTCATTTTTTTTTGACAGCTCACACAACGCCATCTTGGTTAAAAGTTTATAAGCAGAGCTTTAGTTATCGTTACTAGACAACTGATACAAAGACTTAGATGTAAATACATACATAATAAAGATCCAGACCGATACAAATAATCATACTCATAAATATAAATGTTTATACCTTGCGAGGAATCGAACCCACTACCATCGGAATTAAAGCGGTATGCTAAGCCGCATCAGGTGACACGCAAGCCCGTTTACCCGCTATGCTATAAAAAACTGGTTGACTGCCGTTGTCCACTTTTTGTCACCACTAGTCTTTTTCTTCCTCTTTCTAATAAGAATGGTAATAAAGGAAACATAGGGTTTTAGAAAGAAACCCTTAACATTCAAAATGTCCCATGAGGGTCGTGCCCCCTTGGGCCCCTCATTGAGAAACACAGGTCTACCCCCTCCTCCCGACTTTTGTGACCGAATAATCCTAATAGAAATTTTACTTGAAAAGAGTGTACCTCTCATCCATGGTGTGCATGACCTCCCTGCAGAGCTTGCACTTGTACTTGCCGGGCCCGTGCGCCTGCGCCACGTGCGTGCTGCACGCGCGCGAACTCGGGAACTCGCGCCCGCACACCGCGCACTGCGCCGCCCGCTCCGGACGTCCGCCCACTGTGTGCACGGTCTGACCACAGATAAATAAAATTTATAACTAGCTGATCCCGCAAACGTTGCCATATAAATTAAAATCACTATTAAGAAATAAGAAGATGGTAGAAAGGTGAAAATTTAGGGGTTATGTATTTTTAATGCCATATTATAAAAAAATTAAAAAATGTTAGGGGTGGACAACCCTTATGACTTAGGGATGTGAAAATTAGTTAGTAGCCGATTCTCAGACCCACTATATACAAAGAGTATGGTTACTAACATTGTGACACGAGAATTTTATATATAAGCTAATAAAGCCTTTATTCAGATATCAGTTTTATTTTACATTTACATTTTACATCTCCTACTACATATATATTTCCTAACAAGCAAACTGTGTCCAGTGGTCTCTATTGTTAGCAGTTCTTGTCGAAGTACCACCTGCCACCACTTGATATCATCTTCAGCTTCTGTACGGTCTTCCTCTTCTCCTTTACATATCCTTAGTGTACCAATGCATTTGGCACAGATAGTATATATACAGTTACAACAGATACACATTTTACAACACAACATAAATTGTATTTGTATTAATGCTGAATGTCGTTCCACACTTTATCGACTTTACAATACTAAATCTCGTTCCATTGATATTATTGCACCTCATATTATTTCATGATTTATTTATGTGAGATTATTGCAAACCTAGTAGTTTCAGTCCATTCTTTTATTATTATATTATACATATACATTATTATATTTACTAAATGTATACTGTTTAAAAAGTTCTGTAAATACTAACAAATTTAATAACTGTAAATTTGTTTATTTTACTAATAATATACATGAAAAAACTCAGACCGCTACGAGCAATCATACTCATGAATACAAATATTTCTATCGTGCGAGGAATCGTACCCCAACCGGAAGTACGGCGATGTGTTCAACCCGCTAGACCGCCCAGGTCGTCAAACCCATTGTCACACAATGTCTCCTTGTTGACGTAATTTATGGATATTTTATTTAGATTTATGTTGTCATATATGATTGATATAACTGATTCATGTTGACACATATATACTTGTGAACTATCACAAGTATATTGGCCAATAATGTTAAAACATATTGTCAGAGGTAATGCTGCAATTATGCTTAAATAATTATATGCGACGAATTAAACAATATTCATACAACTACTTGTATTCTTATTTTATTTTCTATACTTTGTCTTAACTTAAAATTGTGAACAATGTAATATGTTAGGAAGAATAACCTGTGTTTAATACATTTTTTAGTATGTTGGAGTGAACTGGCACAGATTTCGAAAGCCAGGCCTAAATTTATTAAATTGTACTGATATATTTGTGAATAAAAGATTATTATTATTGTCATGCTTTATTTTTACAATCTTTGCTGCTTTTTTAATGCTTCATGGGGTATAGCACACTTATGGGCTGAAACCAAATAAGTGTGAGTGTTTGTAGCGTATGTTTGTGTGGGTGTGGGTGTGCGTGTGTGTTCAATTATTAGTAATTTGATTACTTACTCTGATATGTAACTTAAATGATTTCCTATGACTGAGTGGTTTATACTGGCAAGAGTCCAACGAACAGAACACCTTTCTTGCCTCAGGGTGAGTGTCCTGGAAGTGTTCTCTCATCTCCTCTACTGTGGTCATCACCAAACAACAGAGGCAGCACTTCAACAGGTATGATGGTGCAGCTTCTTCAATGTTTTGATGTTTCTCCAAGTAATGATGAATAAACCATACCTAATAGGATTAAAAAAAAGAAATTGTACAATTTTGTTCATAAAACAGTACACCTATCCATAACCAGTAACTATCACTTATATACATGAATACCACTTTAGACTTCACACTGTCATGCTATACCTGTGATACCTTAGGTATGTGATTACTTAGACATTATCATACCAGTTGATTAAGATGTCATGTTTCTTATCCTATAATTGCCCTGCCTAATCTGTACCTTACATCAGAGAGACAGTTTACAAAGCAAGCTGCTTGGAGGCTGAAATAAGTAAGACCTTTAGTGAATTTTAATACTTATTTAGTACCTGTACTAGAGTTAGATAGTTAGAAAATTAAATGAACATACTTTATTTATTTTTCTAACTAACCTGTACTAAACAAGCAGATATTAAAATTTAATAAACATACTTTCCTTCTAAAATACATTTTGCATATAAATATATAAAACTTAACTATATACAACCATAGATCAATAAAAAATACAAACTTACAATACCTTGTCACTATATGTTTCCAAACAACTTCTACATTTATAATACTGATCTTGATACTTGTCAAAATGCACCTGGACTTGGTGCTTCTCTCGGTCAGTTTCATTCCAGAATAATGTTGGACAATACTTGCATTTGAAACCAAGATGTGGGCTAAAACAATTGTCATACTCCATGATATCCAAATGTTCAATCAGATGTTTTCTAGTAGACTCCCTATTATCAAACTCTTTGTCACAAAACTGACATATCCATAGATCATCAAAATCTGCCAATTCCTCTGTCACATGTGTCTCAAGTTCTGGATGGCTATCAAATGTTGTAGCACATACTCGACAAGAAAACATGGGCACCGATTTGACGCTGTGCATTTTCCCAACATGTCCTGGATATTCTTGTACAGGAAGCTTGGTGTTACACAGCACACAGGTCACCTCCAATGTCCCATTTGTTTTTATTGCTTCATAGTTTATATCAGACACAATTGGTACTGTATTTGAATTTATGTCATCTAAAGTTTGACTTACATAATTAAAATAACACTTCTCTAATAATATTAATTCCATTAGTGTCACATCAAAATCTTCATCACCTTTATAATTTTTTACTATTTCATCATCCCTCTTCTTTATTTCATCACTTTCTTTGTCATCCTCTTTAAATTTATCATCAACTTCAGTAATAACTTCATGCTTGATTTCTGGTACAAAAACATTGAGCATTTCAGATGCTTCATTGTTTTCAGTCTCCCGAGTCTCAATAACTTTATTCTCCAAGTCCACATAACCAAATCTAACTTGATTCTTCAGTTGCCCATCAATGAATTGAGAGCTGACATCGGCACCAAACACAGAGAATGGTGGGTCTCTCCCAGATATGACGTTAGTAAAACATTTCAATGTAAAATGGTGGTAACCCATGTAGTGATTGAAAAAAGTTGTTGACAAGTTATTTGCTTTTGTGCACAATAAGCAGAAGAATTTTGTGCCACCTTCGTAGTCAAGTTCCCACATGTTCTCATCATCAATACTAGTGGTTCCGTTAGTGACATTGTGTTTTTGTAAGAGGTGTGTTTTATATTGGTCATCATCCGACACTCTAAAGTGACAAAGACGGCAGTGGACCAGCTTATGGGCAACGCTAAGATGTTGGCGGAGTGCAGCTTCAGTTTCAAAATTCTCAATACATTGAGAACAGGGCCATGGAATATGAAATTTAAGGTGGGCCCACCAGGAATCTCTGTCTGGTACAAAGTATCTGAAATTTAAAAAAATATACTTTTTTTTTAATTTATTTATTTATATTTGTATAATACAACATAAACTTACAGCTATTTGCCAACACATTTATACTTAAAAACTATTATATTTAACTACATACACTACTTAACTATATCAAGACTACTATAATTTATTTTAGAAGGCAGACTTCTGTGTACATGTCAGAACATTGGACCTTACCCTAAAATAAGTTTAATAGATGCAATGCTTGAACAGTGGAACAATTACTAGTGTGGCCTGTCCTTATATCATACAGGTATATGATAGGGTATGTACAAAGATGAGTATTCTATAGTACAGACTTGATGAATTGTTGCACTCAAACCCTAATATAAAACACCAGGAATTAAAATTCTGATTTTTGTAACTACATTAATACAAATAAGAATTAGAGGCCCTATGTCTAGGAATGACGATTCATCAGGTTAACAACCATGTGATACTCTCTGCAAACTTCATGCTCATCCTAAAATCCTACTCCATTCCACTCTGCCAGAATACTGTAAGCACACTTCCATTAACAAAAATTAAAAAAATAAATTTCCTTACACCTTCCCCTGATGGCTTGCTAAAATACACCAATACCAAACTACAAAAATATTACATGCAAATTCTGCTGCTGCTGCTGTGCTGCTGCAAATAAATTACCTGCAAATTCCACAAAAATCCTTTTTATGATTAAGCACATAGTGAATAATCATTTTTGCTCTGTTTATAAACCATTCTGGACACAGCAAACAACTATAAGGTCCTGTTGGGTTTAAATCCTTCATATACAGCCAAACATCTGTAGGGCGTTCTATTACTTTGGGAGGCAGCACTCTCTTTTTATGCAATTTAATTGTGATTGATGCCTTCTTGGTGTCTGTTTTATAAACAGCTTTCTTTCTTTTTTTCCTAGGTCCATAGTCTTCATCGGTAAAATTTGTCTCAAATTGGTATGGATTAGATTTTTTAGCTGCTGCTAATACCGACAATGGTTCGTCGTCTGATTCGTCAGAGGTCATTTTATGCTTCTGTATAAAATAACAACTAAGATATATATTATATTTCTGCTTGTAGTAATTACTACTAATCAAATCACGGCACTGAAGTTTAGTTTGTGTGTGGGACGCTTAATAGAAAATTTTATTAATATTCAAAGAAAAGGTTTTTTAAAAACAGTTAGGTAAATACACGAAAAAATACAGCAAACATGTCACAGAACAGTATCAGTAGCATGCACAGAATAAAGTCAGATTGTCAGATAGTATCCATCAAAGACAAATTGGAATTGTTGAACACTTGTCAAGAATGACAGAATTTCAAATGCAATTCGTCGTCCCTTTCTAAATAATAAATAGGAACTAAAAAAAGAAGAATCAAACACAACTGTAACGAGAGTTTTTTTTATTAAAAATGCCAAGCTATTTCTCTATACTGCCTAAAATATAAGAGAATTAAGAATATTTTTTTGGGGTTGATATATTTTGTGTACTACATTAAATATGCAGTACACAATTTAAAACACTGTAACTAGAACTGCAACAGTTTAATGACAGTAATAATAATAATATAATAATCTCAGAACAATTCACACAGCGCCATCTAGACCCAATTTAAACTAGCTAACAGCTAGCTTTATATTATGGGTACATGGATACATTTTTTTCGTAAATACATACATATTATACATAGAAAAGACAGTAATATATTATTGTTTTATATAGTGTCTGGCTGACTAAGACTTAACTTTTGCGATAGGTGGATTATTTACCATTGTAATGAGAAAGGTAGTAGTTTATAAAAAATAGTACTATAATTAACTAATGACAATGACAAATAAAAACGCAGTGGCAATTGGACTTAATATTTCTGTGTTTCATTGTTCTAATGAGCATTTAAATTTCTTCATTGTATTTATTTTTGTCATGAATATTATTGTAAATCGAGAATTTAAACTTTTCTTTACTAGCAAGAAGTTAACAATGTTTGCATAATATCATAGACAAAATAATAAAAATGTGCGTTTCAATTCATATTTTTTATTTGGATATTATAAACATTCATTACACATATTCTTGCAGTTTATAATAAAAAAAACTATTTTTTTGTTATAAAAACTAAATAAAATTTATCGAATTTTTTAAAAATATTGTCCGAATAAAGTTAATATGAAATGCTTAATTTTTTTTATAAATGAAGTTATGTGTATCATTAATATATTGCGTATAATGAAACCATAATTGAAAATATTGTCCTATCGTGGCGGCCATTTTATAGAAATGTTTTTGTCTATGGTGGCCAAAGAAAGGCGAAGCTAAACAAAAGGATAGCATGTAGATGCCGTTTATTATTTTATTTGTAAAATATTCCTAAATAGTGACTTAAAAATCTTATATTTATGTTACAATTAAGTGTGCTCATAAGTTATAATGTCTGTGTATTATCCAAGTTAATAGAATGAAACACAATGCACCGTGTAATGGAGGCCATTAGGACTAATAATTATGTATATTGGCATACTTATTCCTCTATATCCCAACGCAATTATTTTTAAAAGGAAATATTAAATGCCATTACGTACAGTGATTACTAATAAAAATGTTACTAAACATTACTTAGTGAAATATGAACGAATGTGTCCAGTGTAAATAACCCATTACGTATGAACGATGGCCCAGAACCAGGGAGAAGTGCAAGTGGGAACAGCAAATCAACCTGTCAAAGATAAGGATATCTACGCTTGCCTTCCTGATATGCGAATTAATGGCCCTCTCGGGCCTGATGAGGCGTGCCCAGGAGGTGAAGAGCTTCGATGGTTGCCTGCTCAAGCGACTGACCGTGATCTTGTGATGTACTTGAGAGCTGCTCGTTCAATGGCAGCATTTGCAGGTATGTGTGACGGAGGATCCCCTGACGACGGCTGTGTGGCCGCTAGTAGAGATGATACAACTATCAATGCCCTTGATGTATTGCATGACTCTGGCTATGATCCCGGCCGTGCTTTACAAGCACTTGTGAAATGTCCAGTGCCAAAAGGCATTGAGAAAAAATGGTCTGAAGAGGAAACAAAACGTTTTGTCAAAGGTATTCGTCAATTTGGTAAAAACTTTTTTAAAATCAGAAAAGACTTATTACCCCATAAAGATACGGCTGAGTTAGTAGAATTCTATTATCTATGGAAAAAGACACCTGGTGCTAGTAGTAATAGACCTCATAGAAGACGGAGGCAAGCATCTTTGAGACGTGTGCGTAATACAAGAAATTCACGGGCTGGAACACCCAAGGAACAGACACCTGAAACAATACCAGCCGCACCAGACACAAATGGTTCTCGACCTTCCCCAAATCAGAAAGAAGCTGGGGAAATGAGTTCAGTTACAGAAGATGAGAATTCTGAAGAAGATAGTGACTCTCGTGATGCTGGTGATTTAGCTAAAGCTGATAATGGGAGAATAGATAGCCCTGAAGACTCACCAACTAGGATGAGAACTAGAAATAAGTCAAAAGAACAAACTACTCCAAATGGGAAGAAAGGACCAGACGAATGTGACAATGATACTAAATCTAAAACAAAATCGAATAAACCAATTGCACAAAGTACAAATAATAATGTTGTTGAAAAAGTTATATCATCACCTGTTAATAAAGATGTGAAAAAGAAAGTGGCCAATGGAAAAGTAGTTGATGTTTCAAAGGTTAAGAAACGTCTTCCAGACGACTCTAAACTTGAAGGCATAATGGATGGAGATGTGCAAATGAAAAAGAAAAAGGCAACCGAACCACCTGAAAGTCCATCTGATAGTCTTACTAATGATAGTTTCCCTGCAATAGACGAAACTGAAACTACAGAACCGGAACCAGAAGTTTGTGACTTCAGTTTTAATAAAGCTGATAAAGAAAATATGGAACAAAGTAAAGAAATTGATTCAGATAAATCAAACACTAAAGTTACTGAGCCACAGGTTAAAATAGAAACAAATTCTGAACCAGTAATTAAATCTGAGAAAGATTCTCTCCCTCCAGTATTCAAAGTATCAACTGAGAAAGAGGACAAGAATGCTCTAGATCTTAAAACAGATTCTGCTACACCTAAGACTGCTGATAATCTTGAACCAAGATCTCTTACAATGCCCAATAACATATATCCAAAAACTGAACTTATTATTCCTAAAGTGACACCAATGTCAACTGAAGCCATTGAAAAAATTAAAATCAAAGAAGAAATTGATACTGAAGACCAGTCTCTTAATTTACAGAAGGAAGAATTTCAGAAAGATCCACTGTCACATAATTATCCTGGACATCCTTTGAATCAATCAAACAAACCTCTAAATTTAGAAAATTCCAATTTCTTTATGAAAGATAGTCATATATATAATCCCAAACTTAACCATAACATAAAAATTGAAGGTGGAATGCCAAATATATTTAATCCTGTAAATATTTCTAAAGAAAATCCATTAATCCGGAAAGATTACTCCACTGGAATGTCACCTTTTTCATATCCTTCAAGTATAAACTTTGCAAGTGATCCTAATAAGCACAATCCCCATATAAATCCATTAAAAACTGTTATAAAATTAGAACCAAGAGATGAAACTAGTGAATTGAAGAATCAAAACACACCTGAAATTTTCACAGCTACAATTTCAACTGCAAGTAAAGTAGATTCTCCTAATGCTCCAAGATTAGATACTATGCAAAGAATAAGTCCTTCACCAACAAATACACGTGGTTCATCTCCACCTCCAATGGAACATCCCACAACCACTAATACTGAACCAATTTCACCAGCCAATTCACAAGAAAATAAAGAGTCTGATGTTGAAGATAAACAGCCAACTGATTTAAAGACGCAACCCATTCCAAAACTTGATACACAGAATACTAGTTTGAGGCAACCTCTTTTCCAACCTCCAATCAGACCAGAAAATCTTGGAATTAGATCAACAGATCCGGCAAATCCACCTGTCTCAGCACAAAGTATGCCACCACCACCACTTAGTCAGCCTTCTATTGCAGGTTTGCTTCCTCCAGGACCATTAATTTCTGTTGGTAGTGGTTCAAATGTTGGCCCCTATGGATTCATGCCAACTCCTTTATATGGACATCCAAGCCACCCAGGTCTTGAAAAAACTGGTTCAATGGGATTAATGCAGCAAGTTCCACCATCACATGGTCTCCCTGGTAATAATTTAATACCATCTTCTGCCAATCAGAATGACCCATCAATGCCACAAGACTTAAAAATTAAACAGGAAGTACCAGATAATTTACCTGCAAATTTATCTACACAAAATGTTGCAGACCCACTGCAATCACTCAAAGAGGTGAAGGTCCCTGGATATCCAATTGGCAGTGCCATAGCACAACATTTAAGCACGGAAAGAGACAGAGAATCAATATCTAGTGTTGAAAACAATAGTCGACCTCCAAGTCAACCCACAAATGAAAACACAAATATACCTAGTGCTTTCCTTGGACCAAGAATAGAAAGTATAAAAAAGGAACCAGACTTTATGCATCAGCCTCATATTCAAACTACAAATACAAGCCAGGGAAGTGGATCAGAGAGTACAAATACAGTACCACCTGTAAAGAGTCCACATACTCCGACTCCAATAAAAAGTCAACCCACTCATAATGGTACACCTGGACATGGACCACACCCTTCTGCTACAACATCACCGTTTTCGAGACATTTGACTAGTCCCTCACAACCTAGACAAATATCAGCTTCACCTGTTCAACATAATCCTCCTGTATCACATTCTGCACTTAATTTAATGAATCCAACACCACTTTCCATTCCTGCAACAATACCTGGACCAGTTATGCATTCAGGACAACAATCAGGTCCACCACATCCTCATCCATTTGCTTCACCTTTACATCATCCACATCATCCTCTATTGCATCCTTCTATTTTTCAATTATCTGCTGCGGCCGCTGCACACGCTATGCATCCTTATTATCCACATCCACATGCGGGATATTCAATGCCATATCCATATCCATATGGACCATTAACTCAACCTCATCCAATACCTCCAATGCATCCAGCGTCTAGTACTCCAGGACGACACGATCCCGTCAAACCATCAACAATAGAATCTACAACAATGCTTAGTTCTCATCACAGCACCAGTTCTTCAGTAACCACGAGATCTCTACGAGAAATATCAGAGAGTACTGAAGATCCAAGAAATCCAAATGCTACAACTGAAAGACATCAGTTACATGAAACTACAATGACACACCACCATTCAACGAGTCACCATAGCGCTGTTCATACAAGTACAGAAAAACAGCCAAGTCATGCTGGAGGTGGAACAAATCACACGCTCTCAATTTCTCATTCAACATCCAGTAGCTCCTCTCAATCAATACAACATAAAATTAATACCCAACAGAAGTCCAGCTCACATTCTAGTTCACCGCATCATCTTTCAGCCAGCGTGTCTCAAACCACCAGTACATCATCGAGTGTCAATGTTACCAATAATCATACTCATCATCATTCTCATCACCTTGCCCATCACCCAGAGAGATTGTCGCCCGCGGATTCAATGCTTCTACGCCATCACCCAAAAATTTTACCAGGAAATCCAAATCATTTAATGATACAGCCTCCCTCTATGGGCCATCCAATGGGTTTGGGATTACCTCCTGGACCTGGGCCAAGCTCTATTGAAAGCCTTAGATTACATGCTCAAGCAGCAGCGGGATTACAAGCTGGGCATCCCAGATCAGGATCACCTCATCAACTTCCTCATGGCCATCCACATTTACGGCCCCAGAGACCAATACCTGAGGATAATCCTGAACTGAAATTAGAAACACAATCTCAACCAGAAGAAGAAGAAATCCCAAGTCCTGCTCATATACCACATGGTCCTAGTCCAGAACCGAAAATTGAAGATACTGAGTGTCATAGATCACAATCAGCAATATTTTTAAGGCATTGGAATCGTGGTGATTATAACTCTTGTACTCGAACAGATCTTATATTTAAACCAGTACCCGAGTCAAAACTAGCTCGGAAGCGGGAAGAACGTTTGAGAAAACAGGCTGAAAGAGATCGAGAGGAAAGAGAAAAAATAGCTCAACAAGCACATAGAAAGATCGCAACTCCTGAAAAGCCTGAAACAAAACCGCCTTCAAGAGGTGCTATTGAAACAATAACATCTCCATATGATAGATTTCCTCGACCAGGTTACCCTGACACACCTGCATTACGTCAGTTATCTGAATACGCACGGCCACATGCAGGTTTCAGTCCTGGAAACTTACCAAGGCATTGTATGGATCCGATGCTGCAATACCAATTGTCATCAATGTATGGTGCAGCAGGCGCGCGAGAGCGCCTAGAACTTGAACACCTTGAGAGAGAAAAACGGGACAGGGAAATAAGGGAGCTACGTGAACGAGAGTTAAATGACAGATTGAAAGAGGAATTGCTCAAGAATAATGTTGGACCACGAGCGCTGGATCCACACTGGCTTGAAATGCATAGAAGGTATGGCATGCCACCCCCGCCACCGCAAGGTGCTATACCTGTACAGTTCGGGCTATATCCTCCCGGACATGGACCAGCAGCGCTGTCGCAATTGGAACGTGAACGATTAGAACGCCTCGGAATACCACCAGCTGGTGCATCTGGAGCTCCTCCAACTGTTCCAGTCTCTGCTGCGCCTCCGCACCATCCGCACCATCCACATCCGGGTGTGGCAGCTGCACAACTCGAAGCTGCCGAGAGATTAGCACTCGCTGCCGACCCGATGGTGCGGCTTCAGATGGCAGGCATTAACCCAGAATACCATGCGCATACCCATGCACATACGCATGCGCATTCTCATACTCATCTTCATTTACATCCGGGTCAGCAAGCTGCAGCCCAAGCACAACAAGAAGCGCTCGGGCTTGGACTCGGTGCTGGTACACCTTACCGACCGCTCCCACATCCGGATCTGCTAGGTCGACCGTACGCAGAGCAACTCGCGCAGCAAGCGGCCGCGCACGAGCAGTTGCAGCGACAACTATTGCTGGAACGGGAGCGAGGCTTCTTGCATCCAGCTCATCACGAAGATTTCATCCGTCAACAGCGCGAGCGTGAGTTGAAGGTGAGAGCTCTGGAGGAGGCGGCGCGAGCGTCGCGTCCGTAGTGCCCCGCCACCGCGTCGCGCCATCCTCCGGACTCTGCCGTCGTAATAGTGGAGTGATGTGGTTGTGCAGTGTAACGTGGTGACGTTTATATTTAGTGTATAAATTACACGAGACTTATTGCACTTGTAACATGTTAAGTGCAAAGTGTTCACATATTAGTATATTAAAAACTTGAACCGGATTCTTCTTATATATGTGTGACGATACATGTAATTTATATTTATAACTTTAAGTTTTGTAATATTTTTATAGTTGCATGGCCAGGTACGCTTATATCCATGCTCAAAATTATATTTTAACTACTAGTCATACTTAAAATTTTATTTGTTAAAAAATGGGAGAATATGTCACATCTTTACATAGATAACTTTTTAATTTAGTTTAAATTATTTTTCATAATATTGAATAGTAATACAGTAAAACCAAGGTGCTGGTTAGCAGTCATGTAAATATATACATGTTTACATTTTTATTTTCTTATATAAAGATACATTGCTTTTTATGTTCATGAGTCATGACATAATAGGTACTTATTTTATAAATGTAATAATAAAGTTTTAAATTAAGTATATAAATAAAACAGATTAGGGACTGGTACTTGCCTTTCTGATCAACTTGCCTTTATGTAATTGATCTGTAGTGACTTCCAGACTCTATAATTCTAAGGTTGATAGAAATATGTTGTCCCATAGATTATTTACAATATTGTAACATAATTTATTGTTTCAAGTAATATTTATACTTATTTATAGCTCTCATTGAAAGTTATGTAAATAGTAAGTCTAAACTTCTGAAAACTCATAAGACTACTCATCCGTATTGTAAGTTAAATGTTCAAAAGAAACTGCGACTATAAGGGAACAAAGTAAATCAGGGATTCATTCCCAATGCATATTGAGTTGTATAAAACACAAACTGATATTTAATACTAGTTAATTCAAATACGTGAAAGTAATATGTACCTATTGTACATAATTATAATTTTATTTGTAAAATAAAAATATGAAATTTAACAATTTCTCGATGATATAATATGATTTATTTTACTCTGTGTTACAATTAACGTGATATATGTACTTTTATCCAACCAACTCAATGTTTTATCTGTTAAACTTTCGCTCTTTCAAGTTGTAGAATCCCTGGAAATGTCAGTATCTCTAATTATAATGTATCATTCTAATTTTGTATAGGCGTTGTTTCAAGCTCGCCAATAGCTTCCAAACAATATTTATACAGAATTATGATATTGCTATTTATTATCAAGATTTTTCTTGATATAATTTTTTTCTGTAAAATTGTAAAAACAAAATAATATTCTATTATTATTAGGTATATGACATAGTTTTGTACAAGCGAACTACAATATTTTACTATCTTCATACCTGAATTTTAATTAGAGTTTATCGACAAAATTTAATAGAAATACACTGCACTCACTCCGTAAGCTTATATAAGTATGGCCCTTAAATGATTCTATTCTGATTGCAATACTGATAGTAGAATGCGTAGGTACCTAAGAGTATATTTTAGGAAACTAGTTTAAAAAATCAGTATATTTAAGGTGCAACGGAAAGGGTACGAATCGATATCCACAGATATCCGTCAAACTACATATTTCCCCAACATATATGTGCGAATTTTTTTTTTAGCCTTTCCAACAAACTGCGCGCTTCTGTCGATTTAGTTCTAATATTGTTTTCATATTTCGACCAGTTCTTCTTGGTGAAAATTTTGCAGATTTACGAACATATAATATCTCTGGATTTTGGGTTATCATATCTGTTATTGTAAGTTATGCTTATTATACTTACCTAATTGAATTGAACTTCCCAACATTCTATTTAAAATGTTAAAAAATCGTTACTTTTCTCTAAGATCTAAAGTAAACATATTAATGACCTGGCATAATTAATATTTGTCTATGTATTTATGACTAACTATTTGTTTGTTGAAATTATAATAAATAATAGTTAAGTTTACAAAAATAATGCCTCTGCCCTTGTAAACTGTAAAAATACGGATAATATAAAAAAAACCAACCTACTACATACCTACATAAATTGTAAATATTTATTCTTTTACATTACGCTCACGTAACGTATTCATTTGTATAAAATGTGCAAGTCTATGTCAAACATGACAAGGGTTTAAAACTATAATAATTCTAAGTCTTAATATTTGTACAAACCACAAAAAAATTAAGTGCGTTATAATATATCTTTCATAAAGACTTTTTTTAGAGAAAAGCGTATTATTACAATCCGAAATTCAGTGACAGTTCGTTACTTGGCTGACCGAATTGGTTGAGTTTTAAAACAATAACAACATAAACATTATTCGAAATATATTTTCGTTTACACATTTGCGCCGAGTGTCCAATTTAAAAAAAAATCAATATTTTTTCTGTTACACTGCATTTGTGTTTTCCTATAAGAACATTTTCACGGTGATGTAAATATTAATCGACAGATCCTATTTTTTTATTTATTACTGCTATTAAAAAAAAGTTTGTTATAAAAAACTCGTTAATTTGGGCATTGTTGTTTAATGTTCGCAATTTGAAATAATTATTTCCAACTGAATTTTGAAAATTTAATATGAAATTTCACTTACAGTATTTAAGTGTAGTAAAAAGTTAATCAATTATGAAAGAGTACAAAGATGTCATAATAAATCACTTTTCGAAGTGAATTTTGTGTTTTATACAAAATGTACGTTTTTCTTTGTCTCGTCACTGAAGTGTACACATTGTCAATTTAAAAGTGAATTCTACTGCATTAGCTCATAAATCAATTTTGTTTGGCCAGGCCAATTTGTATTCAAATATTTTTATTATCTTCCTGTCACAGTTATAAAGTTTAAATAGATTATTAACACGCAATGTGCTCGAGAAATCTAGCATTTATGTGCAGTATGCACACAAACGCTGTTTTATTATTGTAATACCGCGTTTCCATCCAAGTAAAGTTACAACATAATTATCTTATACATGTTGTTGTATGTTTGAGACAGATGTAGTCTTATACACGACATGTATAACAATTTATAAATGGGTGGTGACGGGGTGTTGTGCCCTAATGATAAATGATTATAAATCTTGTAAATGTAAGAATTGTAATTTTTGCCCAATGTACACATTCAATAATTCTATTGCACCATAATGTAATATAAATTCCCTTTGTAACAAATAAATCCTGTTAGAGTTGAAGTTATAGATATTTTAGACATTTAGAGTAAAATGTTTCGCAAGTCGCTTGATAGGTGTTATGTTGGGTAATGCCATAGTTTCATTCTGATATTTAAAAAGAGAAAATGAGTATTATTTTTAGAGACAAATTATATCTTAATTAATTAAGAGGTTGCGTGTCGGTTTAAAGTTTCGTTTATTTAGACAATAAGGTTAAATGGATGTCTTAGTGCTTTTGTGTAAATTTTTTTGAATAATATATGTGAAAAAAAATCTATAACTAGTTTCTTTTTATTCACATCATTATGAACATAATAACATAAATATATATACCTAATCCATTTACAAATCAAACAAAACTAATTGTAATGTAAATTCTATTTTTGACGCGTTCTTTGCGAGCAGTGTGAATGAAATGAATGGAATGAAAATTACTTGATATGTTTAGAATACAAGTAAAAGTCACTCTGAGTAAAGCAGACTTCAAACAAAGGAATTGACACTGAATTTACTCCAAGCGAACATGGTTCATTTAATGAAATGGATGTAACGATTTCTATATAAAACTAAAAATCAATATTTATTGGCACATTTTTCATTGCTACTCTGCTCCTATTGGTCGTAGCGTGATGTTATACATCACTCGGGGATAATATACCTTTCTAACAGAGAAAGAATTAAAATCGGATCAGCATAACATTATCACATCATACAAACATTACCTACCTCTTATTCTTCTATTAGGTTGTACCATCCTAACGGTTTTCCTAAATTTTTCAATTGACATGTCTCAGAATGTGTTTTCTAAACATCGTGTAGTATCTACTACATTACCAGGTATTTTATGACGGTAGTAAAATCTACCGTCACCATAGAATGGATTTCGTGCACTTCGCTGACCCTGTCATAGTAAATATTTCTCGCTGATTTAGGGCTATAGGTTTGAGCTGTACAGTGGAAAGTAAGTACATTCTGTTGTTTTTTTATGCAACAGGATACGGCACTCGTTGCCTATATACGTGAACTGCAGTACGGCCATCAGGTTGACAGACGCACGTTGTAATGTGAGGGTTTTACAGGTAGAAAATATCTAAGCTCAATTATTTTTTTATACGTAGGTATATATATACGCTACGGAGTATTACATATACACATATAGCAGTGTAACAAGAATAAAGGGAAAAAAGAAACGATGTAAAATCGTTGACAGATTACTTTCGAGTGTACCATGCCAGTACTAACAGTTAACTGTCATTGTTACCATTCTAGAGGACTAAGATGTCACCTTTTAGTGGTAAACGTTGAACCTCGCAGTTTCAGTGACATACCCCTCTAAACGAAGCTTATAAAGCAATTTCTTTGGCGGATGAAATAAGTGAGACAATATACTCACAGACGATTTTCGCTTTAATGATGGCTCCACATTTCTTGACATTCTCTCTTATTTATATAAAACGAGCTGTACCAACGACTTAGTCCGCCTGAACTTAACCAAATAAAGAAAAAAATATTTAATCTAACCCTAAAATCCAAACAAAAAAGTTTGATCGTTCTGGCTCCAAAAATTACGAATTTCCGTACAAACTGTCATCGCCTAATTTAATTTAACCCCCATAAAGGTAATATGTTTACAAAACTTGAATATCATGTTTATTTGTATTTAAGCAACAGCTTAAAAAATAAGTTTCGAACTTCTAAAAATAAGCTTTAAAGATGACGGATCTACCATACAATCTTTCAACTCCTTACAATCGTTTTTTCGCATTAAATGTTCTTTCTCAAGGTCTAATCTATCTTTATACCAAATTGTATTTAAATCGGTTCAGTAGTTTAGATGTGAAAGCGAGCCAGACGCATAGAGTTACTTTGATAGAGCTCTACAGTGTTTAAACTCAGTCCACATTTCTATACCTAGAATACATTTAGTTTTGTATAAAGAAATATACATACATTTGGCATATTCATTTCAACTGTCAACATCCAATATTTTATACGGTCTGTTTTACAAGATCTATTTATTGTGAAGCGTTCGTAACTAAGAGATGGATTGATCGATATTCCTAGCGCATTTAGGACGGAGTGAACGCCGCATTTATATATATAAAAAATAGAGAATAATGGAAACATGGGATTAACAAGCAACACAGGATTGCTGGCGAGTGTGCAACAAAAGTCTACGAATACCAAACAAAAGGTGAGTCCCCAAATTAATTAACTATACAGATAATAGGTATATCGTCAAAATAAACAATCTATGTCGTTCGAAACTTAGGACCCACGCGGCTTTATTTTCTATAAGAGTTCTTTCGTTTATTATATTATTTTATTTTTCTATTACACCACAAACATTTTCTCTAATATCTACTCTCTGAATCGGTTTGATTGAATATCTTTTTTTAATAAAAATTGTTTACCCTGTATATGACTCATATGTTGTTTAGCAATTTTTGGAGAAAATATTTATATTTGATGAGAGATGAGAGTAAATAATTATTTTCCGAAATTCACGAATAACGTAGTTACTAAATCAATCACTAAAAGCTTGTATATAGAAACAATATAAGCAAAAAGAGTCAAGTGTAAGTTAAACTCGCGTAGTGAGAGTTCTGAACATACATATGAGTTTTATAAATTAAAATTTTGTTTTAGTCCCGTCCATACTTCACTGAGTAAAAAAAATAAAGAATTATTAAAATACAAGCCTTATACTGTGACTACTTTTATATGCTTTTTGTTTGATAATTATGTATTGGTGCAGCCTGTGCTAACGGCGCATATGCACCAGTGGAGGGTGATAGAATGAAGTTGAAGTCGGATTAGGTATAACCGATCGTGGCGAATTTACCATGAAATAACAACTATAGTTTTCAGAGAAGACCACGTGGATGTCCAGCCTCTTTTGCCTAGAGACTTACTAGAAGATTATTAGTAATGTGAACTAGTGGCACAACACTAATTCACATGCAATTGGGCACAGTTCACGTCAGTAATAATTCCTTCCCCCATATAGATATAGATTGATTTATGCACTAATTAACGTCAGTGTCTTTTTGTAGTTTCATACATTTAAGTAACAGTAGTTTCTAAGTGTAATTAAATTAAATCAATATTTATTTATTGTCGCACGCACACGTAACCCTAAAAGGACGGAAAGTTGAGCTGAGTTCGCTACATGAATAAATAATGTGGTGTGTAAGACAGAATGATTTACACTGCTTTTATATTGTGATAAGTCTAAAATCTCCCAGCCGACGTTAACTAGAAACTGCGGAATGTATCTTTAAATTATACGCCTGTTTATCTGTTTATGTTTGCCCGTCTCGAAAACCAGTTAGGAGCAGTTATTACTAGGAGATAGCTAACTGCGCTTAAGTGTTAGAAGTAGGTAATATATTGAGGAAGCTAAACTTTTTTTACGTAATTTGAATGGCAAGCAAACTGGTGGACCACCTGATGGAAAGTGGCAACCGTCGTCTATAAAGGAACACGAACACCACCACGGATATCACGTTATCATGTGCCCTGCCAGAGTAAACCGTTAACATATGCGTTATTTTGTAATTTCACTCCATATCACACCCTACAATCGAAACACGAACCTTGAGTCTACAACCATATTGCAACACGTGTTTAGCCTTTGAACGAGGCATCTTCAGACGATTAAACCGCCACTACACTTAATATTGTGGTCTCACACATGCTAATTGTAGTGGAATAAAATAAAATAAAATAAATCCATTAAGTAGTGATATGAACATCTATAATATAAAGTATGTTCATTTCGTATCGATCCAGAGTACCAACTTGGAACTACGATGCGAGGTAACACCGGCACCGTTTATGCTGCGACCGTACGCGGGACTGTACAACCCGTTCCCTCATGGATGCTCAGTGCTGTGCAACCATCCAGCTGACACAGAAGCCAAGGAATACGTCAAACGAGCTAAAGACAATTGGGTGAGTGCTAATATATATTACTAGCTGACCCGTGCAACTTCGCCTACATCACACTTGCTTGACATTGATCATTATATTTCGCCCAATTTACATAATATCTTTTTAAATTAGAGCCTATGTGTTATTGTGATGCATAACTTATGTTATTGTGAAATTTCATAAAAATCCGTTTAGTAATTTTTGCGTGAAAGAGTAGTAAATATCCATCCACACTCACAAACTTTCACTTTTGTAATATTAGTAAGACTGGCTATATCCCTTGGTGTTGCCCCAGTAAAATACAGTCTGGCTGAATGTTGCTGGCTGATAAGACAGCCTTTTAAAATCTGTCAACATTTTTATACCCTACAAACTAATATAAGTAGTTTAAAAACTAAAGTAAAATCTTTCCACATTGTAATAATAATATTAATAATAATCGAAAACCATTAACACAGGTCCGTCTAGTCCCAAAAAGCTAAAAAGTGGGTAGAGGTAATGCTAAATAAGTGCTAAAAATTTTTAAATACATGTATTGCCTATGCATTCTTAATATACCTACATAGAAATCACCGATACCAATACAATCTTACTCATAAATAAACTTCGTATCGTACAAGGAATTGAACCCGTAGCGGGTTCAATTCTGATGGTGGTATGCTAAACGCTCATCATCGATACTTTTTCTATGATATCCATAGTACCTATAAGCTGGCTGTTTCGGTGTTTTCCGTAGTTTTACTTGTGTGATGTTTCCCTTTCTGATTACAATTTTTTCAATTTTTTCTTAACTTATCTATCTACTAAATTTAGTCTAGTAGTTTGTACATAATTTACATCTATAATTTATAATATCATATTATGTTTTAAATTTATATTCTTTAGTTTTTAGAAGGAAAACAACATTTTCTCCATGAGGATCTGGCGAAGTTTCAAGACCAAAATGTACCGGAAAAAAACAAAACCCCGCACGATATTGTCACTGAAGACATGTTCAGAAGGTGAGAACATAATTAACAAGTCAATTCACTTCTGTATATGGACTATAAACGGGCAGTATCTGCTATAATTAATCTATTATAACGCAGTTGACGCATCGCGTGTTAAACCTTTAATTTACTTACGTAAATATACCTAATGACTTTTATACCATAAAGGGTGAGGTCTTATTACGTAACTAGCTGTTCCCGCGACTTCGTCCGCGTGGAATTTAACTTTATTTTTCTAAAATAAAGTAGCCTAAGTTACTCCTTATTACATATTAAAAGAAATCCACTTCAGTTTAATTTATTTGTATAGACGACGCTTGTTTATCATTATTAAAACATCTCACAATCACTACGATATTCTCCTTGAATTTTAGGTATGCGGAAACTGATTCGAGACCCCTCACGCCAGCTCCGACGCTCGCCAGCGGTAAGTCCAGAGGCTCGAGGAGATGCCTTACACCCGACCAGCCACATCCAAGGACCACCATCGTCCTGGACTTAAGAAGAAGTCACAGCCAAGTAGGTACCATAAGTTTTCTGTGTACGAGTTTTAAAGTATACGTCGTCATACATGCTATGTCGGTGTTCGACCCCTTTAGGGTCTTTGAGTTGAGTTCTAAGTCTTATGGTGATCTTGTTACTAGACGGTGCATCTAGCAATCTAGCGTCTACTTCAACGGTTTACGCTGACGAGGCACAAGTAGAGGATGACAAATGCAGTTTGCCACGATGAATCCCAGCGGAACCGGGTGAAAGTTAATCTGGCATACATTGCTAGTAATGGGTAACCCCATTACTAGCAATTTAGTCCACATTGCTAACCCCCCTTCCCCCATTGCCAAAATCCCCTTCGCCCTCTATGTATGAGTTGTATTAATTAGCAATGTGAGGGACACCTATACGTAGCACTAAAATGCAAGTCGTTGTCAAGAAAGGAACAAAATAGTCCTAAAGGTGCAAAATAATTGACTGTAGGGAAAAATTAATTATTTTATGTTAATATGATTTTTACAATATAATTACTTGAGTATCATTTTCACTATATACTAATTTAACTATTGCAACTGTCTCTGGATTCTCCTGGCTTTTCCTACTTCAAATCCTGTTTTTCGTCAATTCAGTTGGCAACCCAACACTCTGGTTAAGGTTTATTGTCATTTTTAACAAAATGCTGAAATTTACAGGAAACTCTTTATTACCACGGATACACAACGTCGGATATGACCGCTGGACAAACCACAACCGCAACCAACGAGCGCTCTACTCTACCTTCCTTGAACCTCTCCGAAGGCGCACACAACCGTTTACTAAAGGGCCAATGTGAACAGCTACCACCATTGGCCTCACCTCTCGTACTCTCAAAGAGAGCCATGCCTGTGAAAGAGCCACTCAGTGTCAGAACAGCAAAAAAGGTAATTTGGTTTACTAATATAGCTGTGTCCCGGGACGCAGAACCCATGAATTCGAGTTTCTTTTTTATTATTTTTATTTATATCACTCACTTATTATACTCGTTACTATTTATTATTTAAATATTGACTTCAGTTGCGAATTGATACGGCAGAAATTTTCGTAAAGGTAATCGAGTCTCAATAAGAGGTGTGTAATATATACCTACATATTTGTTATATATTAATTATAAGTAATACATAAGTATATAAATATAATATATATGTAAACTATGTAATATATTTGAATTCGGTATTTCTATGACTCTGCTGTGACATATATAGTCTCGAATCCATGCAGAAGTTTTGTGAAAAAAGTAAAAAAAATATGCATTCCTGATGAAAGAATGTTTATATATTCTTTCATCAGAATGCATATTTTTTCTATTTATGGAGAACGATAGAATTATGATTACGGCTGGCATACCAGTAAAATGAGATCAAAGAAATATCTTAGAAACACATTTACTCTGTTAGTAATTATATTTTTAAGCCAATAATTGAGTCATAGTGGGTGCTACTGTTAGACAAACAAGCTCTTCAAATATTTCTATTTTCTAAATGTTAAGGCCTTTGTTATCTGATAACGATTGTTCCTACTACACTCTTGTGAAATTACTAGAGCGTTGCAACCTCCACAACTTAATATCTATGTAAGTGATACGACTGATAAATAAAATTATCAATTAATAACCTTTTGACGTTAGTACGATAGTCGTTCGTTTCAAAGTTAAACGGGTTACTGAAACATACATAGCTAAAGTTTTGTCAAAATTATGTTGCCGTTCTTGATATCGAAAACTAAACTGTTATCCGTTAATAATGATAAAAAAGAGAGAAAAACCAAAGAGAAGAGTTTCTATGTCTCAGGCGATAATTTAGTGTCTTTCAAACCTAGACGCATTAAACGTAGACCTTTGCGACTCCCACCGTTGGAAGCACCTTCGCCATGTGATTGCAGTCTTATGCACGTGACAAGAATAGTGATTAATTATGCACCGAAAAGTAGAAAGAGAGGAGCGTCCAATATTGCCTTGTCTATGACTGCTTGGGGTACCACCGGGCAAAGGAAACGAATGAGGCTGCCAAGTATCAAAATCTCAAAAACAGTTAAAAAGGAAAAACCGTTGAGCTATAACAGTGACGACTTTTTTCGAAAACTTGAGGTACTTTTTACATAGTGTATTTCTCCTGTTCAAATAAAAGGGTTGAGACTGAAATCTATTTTTTGCAAGGAATGACGACCGTTATGTACCTTCTTATACAGCGCTATAAACATCACATTATCGTATCAATCTTATAATTTTATATTCCATCTAATTTACTTACAGATAACCTACCAATCACGAACATGTTAAACAACCGATTTAACTGAAAACGTTGACCTAATCAAAATGTGCACTTGTATATAAAAATCTTGGTAAATAGGTTGCAATATTTATTTCCTAAGACGGTATTACTACATAAACTAAAATATACCATACATGTACCCAATTATATGTGTCATATTGATTTGTTTCAGAATCAGTTAAAAGCTTTGAATATAGGCAAAGCTATTAAGAGCAAAAATAAAAACGATGCGCCAGCCTCGCAGCGTTCAAAGGGTGACAAGGAATCAAATGATGGCAGTGAAAATGCATTGGCAAATATGGAAGAAGGAGGTAGGCATAAATTATTACATAAACATGTATAAATGTGTTTTTCTTAACGCTCCGTTTAGTCAGCGTTGTAAGTATGCGTTTAGATAAATCAACAAACTTTGCTGAAGGAAATTTTAAAGAACAAAATAGAAATTGAGTAGTTTCTTTTTATTACACTGAAAATGTGACTTGCAATTTTTTTTAGTCTCAATATACTATGCTCCCGATTGAAGACGGGGGGGGAGGGAGAATGCCAGTTAAGTAAGTATGTAATTATTTATTTACAATTATTTTCTATTTATTACAATAAATTAGGTGAAAGTCGGAGACGCGGCAAAAGGCGGCGTAAGGGTCGTCAGGGCGGAAGCGATCGTCTGACTTCTGCAGGTCTAGCTGCTCAGGCGCAGCAAGATCCCGAGACACAGGTCTGTTTTTAATATATGGATATTAAATAGTTCACCTGCCTGGTTTATTCTAGCAGGGTCTGTGGTGCGTGGTGGTAAAATTTTCAATTTGCTAAGAATTTGAATTCATTGTAGAAAATTAGCGTCCTCGGATGAAATCAGTTTATTATGGATTTATTTTTATATTAACCAAACAGAAATACAAATTAATGCATATATAAAACAAAATAATGCAAATCAATGAACTATTGTTTGTTTTATTATTATTGTTATTCGTGCAGAAATCACATTCCTTTTTTTTGTAATTTCAATTTTATACCTGCAGATTGCCGGAATAGGCACCGACTCCCAGAACCCCAGCTCTCGGGGATCCATCGCCCCCTCAGCTGATGACGAAATCATTATCTTGCCTGTTATCAAAACGGGCACTGCCAGGAAGACGGACTCATTCCTTGATGATGACATCCTGAAATACTTGCACAGGGAAGTTGATGAGGAAGCTATCGAAACTGAATTTGATACTAAAGTAGGTACTATTTAAGTTTATGTTTTATTATTGACTAGGTTTTATTATTAAAATGCACTGTGTCTTGAATCCGAATTCCTAAAGGAACTCCATCGATTGTTTATAACTTCGTATGAAGACCTTACATACATACATATCCCTATGGCTGTTCTACCATATGAAATATATGAAATAAAAATATAATAAAACATTAAATAAAATAAAAAAGTTAAAAGTACCTACCTACAGTTTCAATTTTTTTATTTTATTTAATATAATAAATTGAATACCATGCGTATACATTCCAGAATAATAAGATGTCATGCCACCCAGTAATTTTACTGCCACTTCTCACTTGAAGTGAATCGGTGTGCTAAAACGCTGGATCACCGAGGCTGTCAATGATATGTCTTTTTGTTTCTTTTACAGCGTCGGTATGTTCTAGAAGAAGCGCTAAGGACCCGTCCAGAACGACAGTTGGGTCAGGAGATGCAGACTTTGCTTCGTGAAATGAAAGTGCCGGCGATGAGCCTCGGCGACTGGTTGCATATCCCCAGAATCTTTTCCCGCCAAAATGCGCAATTCTCTTTACCCATCGATTCATACGCGCTTGAGTGTAAGTATACTTAATTTCAAAAACTGCGGCTTTCTCAAATTAATTTGGGATTTAATGGAAGTGTAGCGCGGTGGTATCCTCATCACTGTAGTGTTATATATGTTGTGATGAGGTGCCGCAACATAGTATATTATTTATTGTAGTATGTAGGTAGTGAATATACCAGTAAAATGATTGCACTATTTATTAGACATTATTAAGTTTATTAGTAGTGTGCTACGTGGTTTATTAATAACGCGTCCAGTCGACGCGGAGTCGGGACGTAGACTGATTTTACACTTGTTAATGGAGACGTAAACTAATTGGAAGGGTCTCAAGTGTCGACAGAAATGTTACAAGTGTAGGCACAGGAGCAAATAATAGTTTTCACTTATGTCGGCAATTTTTCATATATTTCTTAGTCTCTATAATGTTTTAGGTTCTATTTCCTTATTTTGTTTTTCCCCGTTAGCTTCCTCTCTCTCATATGTGTGGGAATACATCTATGTTTCCCTTTCATTCAACATCCCATAATTCTCTTTCCTATAATTTGAAATTTCGTTTCCTATATTTATATCAAGCCAATAATTCACAGTTATAAACGAATAAATATATATATTACATTTTAAAAATCTTTTCTTTATCTTTCTCATGTATTGTATATGTATTGTGGTACTCTATTAATTATTTTACAGCGTTATCACCAATGAATTATGCAGCTCGCTTCGTAACGTTGAAGAAATCGAAGCAGTTACTCTACCTTACGGTACTCAGGAAGTTCAGGTTACGAGGATACAGGATGCCAATTAAGGTGATGATCTAATCTATAGACATATATAAAATTTAAGTGTCTGTTTGTAATTTCAAATTTACAGCTTTTCACTAAATGCATATGGAAGTGCGGCAAATACATCATAAGAAGTATAAAATGTAATATTATGTAGTGAAAGTAATGTTAGACCGGTTGACATAAAAATAGACTATATCAATATTTAATATAGAGTTAATCAATATAATGAGGCATACGGCCCGCCTGCTTTATGTCTGCTTAAAATAATCAACGTCATCTTAATAATTAATGGACGCACCAAATTCAAACAAACAACTGAAATATTATATACACCGTTTAATTATGGTCTGTGAAGTTGTTTTGCTCGCGATACTAATAGGTAATTCTGGCAATAAAATTAAGTATATTTTTTCTCAGTGAATGAAAATAATAATAAATTTATTTAAACAGTGTACAGTTTGATGAAGTCAGAAGTCAGGAGTCAGTTCCTTCCCAAAACCATTGCAGATTTAAATATGGAATGGTGCACTTGCTTTCGTTAGTGGTATACGCTGCCAGGAAACCAGTAGAGTATAATAGAAAACGCGACCGCGTAGAGGTCGAACTGACATGGGACATTAATTAACTGGGCCACTAGTCCCTGTTTTTTTATACTACAATGGTGGTAATTAAGCATACGGCCCATCTGATCGTAAACGATTACCGTAGCCTAAATGGACGCCTGAAATAACATCTAGTCTCATGGTAAAAATAACACAAGCTCTGTTTGCCATGAGACTAGATGACGCTGTGTTAATTGTCCAGGCTTATTTATTTATTGTTTTCTCAGAGCATAGAGGAAGGTCTCGTCTTGATGATGGGCGGCATCCTCACACCACAGCAGGCGGAACACTTCAAACGAATCATGGACTGGGAGAATTACGAGGAAGAAGAAAACATACCGGATGAAATCAAACTGACTTTATTAGAGACAGGGTATAAGAAGCCTATAGTCAATGACGGTGAAGATGCAGAGGAGGTAATGACTCTTAAAAACAAAAAAAAATGTTTTATGTATCTATATCTCTATTAAGAATACTTACGAGTATGACAAGTCAAATCTAGAGTCCGGAGTCCTAGAGTTCGGAATGTACAATAGTTTTTGTAATAGTGTTGAGTTTTTTGTCAGTTCTTCTCAGAATTGACAACATTGCAAGTGGAATGTAATATTTGATTCCTACGTGGCAGTAAGCGATAACCACCATCTCTCGCATTATTTTTGGAGTTTGTTAACGGTCTTTCCATGACCGGAGAGACATTCGGAAATATAAATTGACACATGAGGATTTATGGTGTCGGTTAGATTCGAACTCACGGCCGTTTGGTCTCTGTTGTCAATGTTTACTTATTGTGACAAGGTACGAAAGTGATTACTGTTTTTTACTCATGACTAGGCGTGACGTCATATGTATTCGTTTAAGACAGAAATTCAGTTGAGTTCCATACCAGTTCTCAATTGAATCTGAAACTGAACTAGACAGTAGGAACAAAATAGTGTTCTTTACCTTAAGTTAATAAAGTTAAAATAAAAGTTAAGATTCGTTTTTTGCTAATTATTGTTATGGTTAATTATTATTTTGAATTCACTTCTATTTCTTTATTGGAACTAACTTCATACGGTTTTCTACATTTAAACAGTATGAATTTAGTTGTTAATTGCAATATTAATAAATGTTAATACAAAAAAACTTAACGTTCATAAGCCGCTAAAATGACGCTCCATGAAGAATTGATATTTAACTTGACTTGTTTTATTAGGCTGCAATGTGCGCTGTTTTTTTTTTCAGACCGACGAGAATACTATAAAGTACCGCACGTGGTGCGGTCTGTGTGCCATCTGCGAACGGATGTATGGAAGGTTCGCCCCGCGGGACAAGGATCCACCCGATGGGGTAAGATAACATGTCTCCTTTTTTTTCTTATGGATGATAACGGAATGGTGCACTTGCCTTCGCTAACGGTTTACGATGGCTCCAGTGAAGGATAATAAGATGAGCATAAGGATAGGTCAGTTGGCCCATCGTGGTAAATTCACCGTGAGTTTATCGCAATGGTTTCCAGGGAGAACCGCGTGGAGAGCAACCTGACGTAGTACATTTCTAGTAATGTGGTAGTTACTCCACATTATTACCAATCTACCTACCTAAGTAAGAACGCCGCGAATGCACCTAAAATTCCCTTAGTATTTGCAGTACTGGGCGGTGATAATCACTTACCATTAGGTGTAAGTCAAGCTCTTTTGTCCCCTATACTACAAAAAATTATCAAGTATATATACATTACTAAACTTTCAGAACGATCTCATCCTTAATCATTTATCACTGACTAGCTGTGCCCACGGTTTAACCCGCGTGAAATTTTAACCTATATGTTATTTTGATGTATAAGCTATATTACTGTTTTACCCATTCAGTAGTTTTTGCGTAAAAGAGTAACAAACATCCATCCATACTCACAAACTTTCGCGTTTATAATATTAATAAAATTACTTAGGTAATGATTGTTATTTTTTAATATATTCTTTTTGTATTACAGATGGAATTAAGCGATTTCACAATGGTGGAAACCAAGCTAGTGACCCTAAAAGTCAATAGGGGTTTAGTTGAAATTTTAAATGCGATAAGAGAACGATAATATATTTAATATTACGTACCTAATTATATTTTAGACTATATATACATAATTTATTATACTTTTTGCACTTATATTTGTTGTAACTGGTTAGCTGTAATGTTGGTTAATGCTAATTATATATTTCTATACTATTGACATTTTCCCACTTGTGCCTTTTGTATATAGACTCTATTTTTTATAATAATATTATTAAGAGAATATAATAAAACAAAATGGATATTAATATTTTTTATACCTAATAACTCCTATTACAGTCTTTGGGTTAACAGTAACCCCTTAACGAATTTAGTTAGAAGGCAACTACAACATCTCTATAAAGATTCGTCTGCGTGGCTAAGGAGCTTGCTTTTATCTGTGGTCCGGTTCAAGAATGAAATTAAGGCAATGAAATTACAGGAAATAGAAACAGACACAATCTTTATTCAAATGCATACAAGCACTTTTGAATAATCACATTTTTTCGTTCTACCACTCATTCGGAAAGTAGACTCATAACAAGAAGATCGAGCGACAAACCTGAGTTGCTTTTTCTTACACGTATGAGGCATGCGATAATCTACATAGAAACCGCTACGCACTCATTCTTAGTTCGTGCAGATTATATTGTATGAAACTTGTTTTTACATTATGAAAAATTTTCAAGATGTATGTAGGTATGTAGATCACCTAAAATATCAATAAGAGTGATATCACAGCTTCACATGATGACGTCGTTTCTATGGCGCTTTTCATGCAAGTAGGTAGATATATAGGCGACGGTTGTCATTTAGCAGCAGGTGGATTATTAGGTTGTTTGCCATTCTAATTACGTAAAAAAGCATCCTATATACCTAAGTATGTAACGAACTCATTGATGAATGTAATGAAAATATTTTCTGCTTTTTTCATACATTCCCATTATACCTACATAAGACTATCATGTAATAATTGTATACCTACGTGGATACGTAAAATTTTGAGTACCTACCTATGCTGCGTCCATGAACTAAATATAATGATACGAGTGATAACTTATATTTTTATAATCTCTACTAAAATAAATTATTTTGTAGAAAACCGCCTTTGTGAATATAATTATTTTTATGTCCTATTCTGTTCTGTTTCATTAATTTCATATTAACATAGATAAATTTAATTTTATTGGTTCAAGTTACATTTTTATCCTCTCAAATCGTAATTAATAATTTTTATTTTACTATATTACCATGAAATATTGATAATGGTAATGAGAAGTATCACATCCAGTGTATTACATTATCAAATTTAATGTATTTTTTTATGTAATATCACAGATATACATAATATTATAAATTTTATTATTAGTATACATTTTTATATCTCATACAGCTTAGCAATAATGTAAAAGATCTATTTCCATCTGTAGTATTTATATTTACATTTCATGTACATATCATAATGTAATACCCGCACTATAGTATTCTAATCTGTGGTCTCAAATTAAAGAAAACTGTCAATGTCAAAAACAAACCGTTTTTATTGTAATGTGAACTATTTTTGGATTCTTCGACCGTAACGAATTTATTTATACACATTTATGAAAAACAAACAGTGTATTCCATAACGTACATGTATGATATAATTTACGCGTTGATTGATAACCTGATTAATTCAAAGTTTGTTCGTTAATAACAATTTAGAAATGGACGCGTCAAATAACGACGGTAAGAATATATCTAAATATCACCGCGTTGATATTTGTATTTTTAATAATCTCCAATTTTTTATTAAACCCTGTTATTTTAATTGTATTCCAGAATATTTTGTAACTGCTTTACAAATATTTGAATACTGCGGCGCTGATAGCTCGAGTAATTTGCGCGTTGATGCACTAATGGATAAGTTCGCTCCTTTCATCAAAACGAACAAGTAAGTTTACAGTTTCAGGTTTATTACGTGTATTTAGTTACTCAAATGCTTATTTCATTTATGACGTTTAATACAATTAATACATTTATAAATATGATGTAAACTTTAACATTTCATTACTTGTATTATAAATAGAGTACTGTTGTTAGTAAAGTTTATAGTATCCCTCCAATGTAAACATCCTGCCCCAGTTCCATCATACTAGCAAACTATAAAAATTGACCTTCATTTTGTGTGTACAAGTGGCAATTTAATTTACATTAACCCTCATATAAGAATTTCAACAACAAATATTCAGTACTATTTTTTTTTCATACAATCTATATTCCAAATTTAAAAAATGAACACACAAATGTTTAGTTAAGATGATTAAAAATGTAACATACACAACCCATGTAGCTTTACATATGGTCTATTGTGTTTATCTAATACCACCAAAGTGGTTAGTAGTCATGTGCCACTCATAGTCATATGGGGTTGAAAGTTTTACATTTTATGACTAGAAACTTTTATTCACTGTTTGACCCTTTACTAGTTTGTTAATCTAATATTAACAAACTAGTAAAGGGTCTGAATTGCTACAGATTACAAAATGCACATATTCACACTATTCAATAGTATATATTTTATTTTTTATTTATATTTATCACTGATTTATGCTACATCTTACATATATGCTACTACATATATTTATAATGGATGATTAAGTTAAAGTTAGTTTTGTTTATTATTATTTCACTGCCTAGGTTCGTCACCTTGCCTTAAGATATAGGTCTCCTCCTCCATATATTATAATACTAGCTACACACCCTGACATCGCACGGGTGTACATGTATTATTCATATAAACCTTTCTCTTGAATCACTGTCCATGAATAATAACCACTTCAAAATCTGTTGTGTAGTTATAAAGATTCAAGCATACATAGGGACGGAGAGACGGCAACTTTATTTTATTTTATGTAACAATAATGATATTCGTTTATTTGATAAGTAACATTTATTTATATGCATTTTTTTTATATTGCTAAATGCAATCTGTATGAGTACCATACACAGGTGAGTTTCTTGAAAATAGGTGTGGGAGGATCTGTATATTGACAAAGTTGCCATATTTCAGTTAGGTAGAAATCTTTCATCCAGCTCCAGGATATTTCCTATTTTTAATCTCTTTACTAGGTTATTGACTATTCATATGCATGTGAATGGCATGCTCAATTACCACCAATGTTATCATATAAATGTGAATGGTTGTAATGGCAGAGAAAGGTAAGAAAATAGATGGATGGACTGTGAAAGATGATATGGCAAGAAAGGGAATAAATAATGAGATAACTGCAAACAGGGATGAATTGAAGAGAATGGTATTATGTCAAATCCAAATAAATGGCATAAGGAAGAAGCAGATGATGATAATGTTATATGCACATAATTTTTTCATAATGTACAATATATTAAATTAGTAATTGTTAGATTGCACAGCTCTAATCTGTTATATAATATGATCTAATTGCTAATGCATTTGGTAATACAAAATACGTGGTTTAATTAAATGTAACAGTACTGATAAAATATCTAAGGATAAAGAATAATGCAGAACTCACTCATTAAATTAATATTGATAATAAATAATTTGATTACTGAACTGAAAGTAGCTTATATTATAATACTTATTATACTAGTTATTTCCTCTTGCACATATGAAATTTATAGCCTGTGTTAATCTGACGTATAAGCTATAAATCTGTACAGTTTCATCAAAATCAATTTTTTCGTATATAATATAGTATAAGTTTCAAAAAAATTCAGTAGCTTTTGCATGAAAGAGTAACTAACATCCATCTATACTTGAACTTTCATGGTTATAATATTAGTAAGATTAGTAAACTAAAAAATACTAAACAAATATTGTATTGAAAACTCTAGATTGTATAGCAAATAAAAAAAAAACTAATTGTACATACTTTATATGTATTTAGTTATATTATAAAACAATATTATAATAGTGCTGATTCATTCAGTTGTGTATGTGTACATCATAATATTATTCTTCTTTATCCATACTGCAGTTAGTCATATTACTATATAATGTTTTTATTTCTTACTAATACTTGAGGTAAATACTTTTTGTTATATGAATTATGATTCATACATATAGTTATTATTATTTATGTATCATAATTAATGTAATTGTTAACTTCGTTACAACATGTCTGGATGGCTGTGAGTTATTCATCTTTTAAACCAGAAGCCTTTATATATATAAAAATACAGACATTTAAAGACTAATATAAAATCATATCAAGTTAGTAGAAAGGTAAATGGTCAACATCTACCTTTCATTTACAATAATAATATTAAAACAATAATTACAAGCATTTATTTTGTGACTTGTGGCATAGTTTGATTGGTTCTTATTGTTACAATTTTTGTTAATTGATTTTTTTTATTAATTTTCTATTGTGTGTGCTGAGAATGTAAATAAAATAATTATCTATATATCTAAATGACTTATTAATTATATTTTATTTTTCTTTCCTGCCTTACAATATGTGCCTACACTTGTAATATTTCTGTCAATACTAGGCACCCTTCCGTTAGTTTAAGTTTCCACATAACATAAATTTAAGATCAGTGTAAAGTCAGTAATGTTACAACTCTGCATTGAATGTATGTGTTACTAATAAGCCATACAGCTATCCAATAAACTTACTAATGTAGTACAATTATTACCCCAATATATTCACTACCTAGATACTACAGGAAACAAATAAATCAAGTATTGATACCTCATCACATCATACATAATGCTATAGTGGTAAGGTGATAACCATTACCCTACAAATAGAGTGTACTTGCATTATGCTTATAATTTATTTACATTTTAGGTCAGAATATAGCCACCTGAAGTCAATATTGGACCCAGGCCACGATAATCCAGAAATAAATGTAAACATGCTTGCAACTGCACTAAATAAGTACAGTGAAAGCCAGAAAACAAAAGTTGACCTTGATGAGAGGTAATTTTTTTTCATACTATAATCCTAAATACTCTTAATGCATTTTAAAGATGTATAATACAACATTTTGTTCATTAAAACAAAATGTGAAAGTTTTTTAATCATTTAATCATTTTTTAATCATAATTTAAAGTTTAAAATCATAGGTTAAAGTCCTATGGGAAAGTTCAGTTTTGTTCAGTTCTATTTCAGTTTACAAAAGATTAATGCAATTATAATATTTTAAGTCCTTACTTATGAAATTTTTGCATGAAGGTTTAATATGGATCTATCATAACTATTTTGTTTATATTTTAACTATTTAAGCTTAATATTATAAGCTGTTATTATATATATTTACTAATTAAATTATTCTTTGTTATAGTTTCAATTTGAAGATGGGGCAGGCACCACATGATTCTGATTCAGGAATATCCACAGATGGTAAGATATAATTGTTTTGAAACCTACTATATTATATATATTCCTTCAAAATTGGTCCAGCTGTTTTAGAGATTAGCAAGAACACAGGCAGACAAAAACTGTTTTCTTTTTTTATGTTAGTAAGTACTTTCAAATGTAAATTTAAATTTGAAAGTACAGACTTTTTAATTTTATTTATTTGTATAGATAGATATGGGCCTGTGGGTCTCTACTTAGTTATAAGACTTGGGGTTATAATGTATGTTAAATTTCCTTTCAGGTTATCAACTGCTAGAAGAATTGCAGTCTGAACTGCGTGAGAAGACACATCTGGCACACCAGCTACGCAGCCAGCTCGAATTCACCGACCGCCAGCATGAGGAGGTGCTTGCCACCGTCACCGCTGAGCGGGACTCACTAAGGGGACATCTTAATATGTAAGACACATTTCATACTTTTGTCATAGAGTTGAAATAATAGAAAAACATAATCAAATTAGGTATAATAAAACTATAAAATTATAATAAAAATACAACTAAAAGTACGCTATTGGGTTAAATAAAAGAACTCATTCTGAGTTGCAACCCAACATATAGTACTTAATAGAGCTTGTGGGTGCTAGACAACTTATAAAAAGTATTTTTATTTTTACCATAACACAACCTTTGAACTAGGTGGCGTTGTATGTATTCGTGCATCCATGGGTATTATTATTACTATTATACAAAATTACATAATCCATGTAATAATAAAAAAAACAATATCAAAACTCATTCATTCATGTAGGTCATTGTAGCCACTTATGAATGTCAAGTTTTCGTATTAATATTGTTTTCAATGCTCATGTTTGTATGTTGTAACTTGGCAGGCTCCGCGAGGAGAACATGACCCTGTCGCACGTGCGGCTCGACTACGAGGAAGCGTGCGAGAGACTGTGCGGCAGCGAACAGGCGCTCGGCAGAACTCGCCGCGACCTGGACGCAGCCACGCGAAGACTCGGACGGCTGCAGCACCACGCCGCCGCACTCGAGAACGAGGTACGAGATAACTGTTAGTGATCCGTATCCGGCATATTCGTGAACGAGTGCTGCTTATGGTAACTGGTCTGTTCGGGTTACGAACACTGATTAGACTATTTGCTTTTGCAGTAGTATTTGCTGGTGCTCACACTATTCTCCCAAATTTATATTTAAAAATGAATCTGTATTATTGTAAATATGTATAACATTTATTTGAAAAGAATATGAGCTGAGTTTCTTATCAGTTATTCTCATCTCGAAATCATTCCGAACTGATATTAGATTTGACATATAAGAGTCTGTAATAGACCTACATGAATAAAGATATTTTGAATTTGAATTTGACTGACATAGCTTACAGCTGCTCATATGATGGAAACAGACAACTTTCGCCTATATCAAATGACTGCACTGTACACAAATAAAGTGATTATTTGATATTTGCTTTTTTTCTATATATATATATATATATATATATATATAAATATCCCCTTGGGCACTTTGTGGCTCAGACGTGCCGTATAGGTAGTTTTTTGTTGATCCTTTTTCACTTGTTGATCCGGAGGCCTTTTGTTGATCTAATGCCAGCTGACCATATATAAATGTTGATCCGTTTTGAGCCACAACTGTCACGACGAGTAATAATAATAATTAAGCGATTTATACACGATTTTATACAAATCCACCTTTTTGGCATACGACCACTTCTTGATCCAATTCAAACGGGCCAATCAGGGTGCAGCATTTGCCAAGGGCTTCCTCATTGGCACGTTTGGGCTACTACATTATGCCACGATACCGTTATAGTGGTAGTCTATCTAATCTAAATATTTATAGAAATCAGTCTGGAGTAACGTGACTCCAGATCAAACCTCAATACTTGTTATTTTTTGGACGGGAATTTTTCCTTTTGTAACAACGTTACTGAGCGAATGAAGAGAAGACGCAACGGCGGATCCAGGGGGGAGCGTCATGGAGGTCTTGGGAGTCATGGGGGGTCATGACTCTCCCCCCCCCCCCCCTTAGCCCAGGACTTAGGTAGACCACTAATTGAACTAAAAAATAATGAAACAGCTAAATTTTTTGCACGATCGGAGTGTTGGTGCAGTGGTATTAATTATAATTAAACATTGTTACTTAAAATATAACGCTTAAAGTACTATAACACTAAAAGCAAAATAAGTATTTTCAAAATACCTTTACAAAACAAATAACTTTTTTAGTTTTTGTCCAAACCTCAGATATTTTATTTATTTTAGGTATATCAATCATTACATAGTGTAGTATAGTATAAAACAACGTCGCTGTCGCATATAACAAGTACATAAATAAAGAAAGAAGACCTTTTGGCTCTGAATATATTTCAAAAATCAATTACTTGTGTTAATCAATTTATATACTCGTTCTTATTTCATAGTACTTGTTTTGATCCAAATATATACAGATACCGTAACGGTCTATTAATTATGAATTTATTATACCTAACCTAGATATTTTATTTTGACGAAACTCCGTGTAGTAGTAGTATCCGATAAGGGTATGCGAACCCTAAGTATTATTACAAAATGACCAGTAATTTCGAAGAAATAAGCCTTTGAATTTCAAATCAACTTACCAAACGGACGCTCAAGGTTCGATTCCCGCCATAGAATTTTTTTTGTTTTGATTATTTTGATATTTTGATTTTATGTTATATTTTAAATTAACTATTTTAATAATTAAATGAATTTAATCGAACAAAAAGTTGTCAAGTATTAAATTAATTTTAATTTACATTAACTATTATACTTTCTAAATTGTAAAGCAGCTAACAATTACATATAGTAAGATCTTATAAATAATTAACACAACAACATTTCAAATGTATTTTCTTTATTATTACAAAATATTTTTTGTGTATGCTATAATAGTTAATATCACTTAAAATTTATTTAATATTAAACAACGTTTTTATCGATTAAATTAATTTAATTATTAAAATAGGTAATTTTAAATATTACTTTAAAAAAAAAACAAAAAAAAAGTCAATGGTGGGAATCGAACCCGGGGTGTCTGTGCGGTAAGTTGGTACACAGGTACACTCCTAACTAGTAAAATTAATTTAATACTTAACTACGTTTTTCTCGTATAAATTAATTTAATTATTAAAAAAAACAAAAAGAATTAAATAACAATAGTCAATGGTGGGAATCGAACCCGGGATGTCTGTGTGGTAAGTTGGTACACAGGTACACTCCTAACTAGTAAAATTAATTTAATACTTAACTATGTTTTTCTCGTATAAAATAATTTAATTATTAAAATATTAAATTAAAAAAAAACAAAAAGAAGTAAATAACAATAGTCAATGGTGGGAATCGAACCCGGGGTGTCTGTGTGGTAAGTTGGTACACAGGTACATTCCTAATTAGTAAAATTAATTTAATACTTAACTACGTTTTTATTATAAATTCATAATCGTATAAATTAAATTAATTATTAAAATATAAAATAAAAACAAAAACAAAAAAAAAAAAAATAAAAAAAAAGTGTAGGATTCGAACTCGGAGTATCTGTGTGGTAAATTGCTAAACAGGTACACTACTAACTAGGTCATATTGGTGTTGTTTGTTGTGGTGAAAAAACTAGTATATATATAAGTTACACGTACAATTTCAAAGACTTATTTCTTGAAAACTACTGGCCATTCTGAAATAAAACTTTAGGGTTTGTATATGTAATGTTTGCATATAAAATATGATTAAAGGTTACTAGTGTTAGTGTATTTACACTTTTACTGAACAAACAGAGTTGTTTAGTACTGAAAATATTGTGTGGATATCAATCAATCAATCAATCCATCCATCAATTACTTTCAGTGCACTTATAGCTTTGATCTTTTCCTCATTATTATTATTAAGTTTTAAAGTGGTTGAATTTTGCTTAGAGTGTTTTTATACGTTATTTCTAATTTACCATTTATTTTAAGTTTTTTAAACTCTATTCATCGAGACCAATCTAATGAGTCCAAACACGATATTTCCGCTGTAAGTTTTCGAAGAGTATGTTCATCATCTGATAATACTGGTGCCAGTATGAAGTCAAGGTTAACAGATAACTAATTACTCTGATTTCGTCAAAATCTTTAGATTACGTATAATAAATTCATAATATCGCTACCTATTCGAATCAAAACAAGTATTTTAGGTACTTCATGTACTAGTATATAAATTCATCAACACACAAGTAAATGATTTTTTAAATATATTCAGAGCCAAAAAGTTTTTGTGCATTTAAAAAATTTTGCTGATACGGAGTCACTATTGCAGGAAATTGTTGAAAAAATATATATCGAGTACAGGTACTATCGACGAATACTTTATCTAGGGAACACGCGGGAACGCGGAACGGCAACATGTTGCCGTTCCGCCACGATACCGTTATAGTGGTAGAAAGAGAGAGACAGTGGAATCAGCAAATGTGTCTACGGGTCGTGGCTGGATCAACAAAGTGTGCAACTAAGTGCGCGTATATATATATATATATACACTTGTCTTTAATTCAAAGGAAATATAAATAATGAACACATCACATTTAAAACAGTAATAAGTACGTAATATCAGTGGGGATCAATGGCATAGTAGCCATTTTTAGTTCGAAAAACGGATTTAGATGGCGTCATTGGTATCGAATGGAATTCAACATTGTTTTGTAATCGTTTAAAACCCAAAACTATGTTTTTAAAAAGGTTTAATCTATTTTTAAAAAGTCATATATAGATGTTAAAATGAAATAATGCGTTTTGAAAAGTAATTTTCATATATTTACTCATTTTGTTGTCGCCCTGTATTTGTTTACAATTTAATCATTGCTAATTGGGGCTTATTGTTTCCAAAATACTTTCATAGATGGCGCTGTTTTCATTTGTATCACCGTATTTTAAATGTTTATTTTATATTTTCAAATAATAAGTACTTACTATATTATTATGATAAATTAAACATAAAAAAAGTTTAAGTAAATATAAAACAGCTAAACAAGAAAACCATATTATTCCAGTAATACTTATTTAGAAAGTGTTGCCATATTAAAAATAAATGCATAGATTTATCGATTTTTTCGAATAATCAATAACAGGATATTACAACGCATTATTCGATGGTGCTTTTAATTAGTCTTTGCAAACAGTAAAATTTCATCATTTTGTATTATACTCTTATTTGGAACGAATTGCAATGCATAATTTTTACTCGACGACGGCAAAATAGAGAGATTTTGACAGGTATGCAAGTACTATATATTTATCTGTTCGCTCATAACTTCGAAACTTGAAGAGGGAAATATTAATTAGATTGATCTGATACAAGTGTACTCCATTATATCAACCTCCACGCGGTCACCCTGGTAATTATAGCAATTAATGACATTAGTGACATAGTTCTTCTATTAAAAAAATTAATTCCTACTTATTGTAATTTAATGAATGAGAATTGAATGTGGTATAGAGTATATAAGGTCAGCTATACCTTTATGAAACCTCAATAAACAAGTGTTATATGGTATCTAAATTACTGACATTGATAGCTAAATATGAGGATCCTCGAATTTTTAAAAATACTCATAAGAAACTTTACAAATACTCGAATTTTGCTTTTGTAGAAGGATATTTTCAACCTTACTAAATTGTACAAGGTTTTGAAACGATAATCATTCATAATACTATGATATATTACTGATCCTAGTACCTACTATTCATGATAATTAGTTTTTTAATATCTCCATTCGAGGGTAGGTTATTCATAATTTGTATTATTAGATTTCATCACAAATAAAAATATCGATTTAAAATCGTAGGTTGGTCCATATTTTTTTATTATATCGAAATGACAACGAGTACTGGCAACATAAATGAAATGTTAAAAATATAAAATATAGGAATAAAAGAATAGGATAAACGACTTTAAGTCAAATGCTTAAAACCTATTTTCACTAGCATTGGATTTTTTCTCTTTTTTCATCATTTAAGTTAAGTAGGTACT